GAACCATCTGAAATCCTTCGATATTAAATTGTAAACGTTTCCTTTCACTTTCTTTTTTCGAATCGTAAATGACTTAAATCGAATCGTAAATGTCGTATTCCTTATAAATATTGTTATCTCTCACGTTTTTTGTGTTTAAAAAAATTTTAGAATTTCTAAATGTACTGTGGTTTTAGAGTAAAGAATAATTTCGAGCATGTAATTTTAATTTCGAATAAAATAATTTTTTAATAATTTATTTAAGAAGTATAAAATCTAGTTGACAAATATATTGTAACACAGATGTCATTTTTTAGGGAACTAGCTTACTATTTAATTTACCTCACGGACGGTCAAAACTTTTGTAGCAAATTAATGTTCATTTTTATTGTCAACGTGTTTTGTAAGGCCTATTCTCTCTCTAAATTCATAAGTAAGCTGAACTTGGTTTTGAAACAAACTATTTGCGTAAAATAAGTTCTTTGAAAAACTCTTCAGTTTTTGAAATAGGAAAATCTCGAGCACTCGACAATTTTCATTATCTTTTTTTAACGATGCTTCTCACTGATTCTTCATTCCATTGCTATTATTATCATTCTGTAATTTATTTAATTTCATATTAAAATTTATAATGTAAATATGAAAATGAATATTTTTGTGAAGACGACTTTTCCTTCGGAGAACTTCTTTATCGGTCGAGAAAGATGGTAACGAGGATTCAGTAAGTCCTATTTGCAGTGTATTACGTTTAGAGATCGCTAGGTACGTGTGCTGCTTTCGAAACAGGAATATCCTTATTGGTATTATTTGTTACAGTATAAAATAAAAGAAATATGTACTAGAATTTTAACATCTCTAGACAACACATTCTAACAGAAAATAATAGACCATAGTAGGGTTAGAAATAAATGAAAACTCTACGTGGCCAAACGATACCTGAAGGTGGGTTAATAACTCGATACAATGTTCGTAATTAATACTTCTGTATAAAAACATGAACTATAAACTTCCTTTTGACAAACACAATACATATATTATTAAATGGTTAGCACCTGTGTTACGTACGTGCAATACTCGACAAGCCGAGGCATTCACGTGCCTATACATATGAACAGCTCACATGACGAATAAGTTGATATGAGTAGTTGATGGTCGATGGCAAACACAATACTTTGTTTTCACAAATAACACCTTATTAAAATGAACGTGAATTAACGGAGGTTACAGAAATAACGTGGATCTATTTATAGACGTTGGCTGATATAACAGAGAAAATTTCGACTGACGATTATACTTAACAAAAAATCAGCGAAGAGGGGAAGCTCTTCCCTTATTGATTGAATGCTAAGAATAGATATAAGTGCTTCCCTTATGACCGATTGGTAGCCCGGTAGGTGTGTCTGTCAGAAACTTTCTACCGATGTTTGGATTTTTAACCCTCGTCTGTTAATTCGTGCCTCGGTGTCAAATTAACACAGTGATAAAAAATTAATATAATGAAGAGATAAATAGTTAAATTTGCATATTCTTTGGTACCCGTAAAGCTCCTTTTGATCAGTTTGTTACTTCAATAGTTATGATTTATTGAAAAAAGGTCACCCTAAATTTCAAACAGCTGTAAAATCAACAATTTTGAACATTTTCAAAAATCCTTCAAGATACGTTTAAATATCGCTAACGACTACAACATATCCAAATTTGAACAAAATCGGAAATTCTGCTCCAAAAAGTGTCCGATTTCGCGTGGAATGACCTACCAACGTAAACAATAGAACTGTAAATTAATCAGTTCTTTCATGAACGTTCTGATGCAAAATGGGCACCGGTTCAAGTAGAATTTCCCAACGGAGAATTTCAGAGTCGCACGTGCTAAAGAGCACGTTACGTTCATCCGAGTGCCCGAAAGATCAGTGATTTCTTATTAACGCCGGTCGAGTTATGCAACGAGCTGCAAGTGAAATGTACTTTCATACGGTCGACGCGATGTATTCAAGGACGTTTAAAAGATACCCGAGCGCGGCCACGTGCGGAATTCGGGGATTACAGTTGAAAAGTTGTCTCTATGTATCGCCATAAATCTGAGTCGTATTGCCAAACAGTTTCCAGTTATACAGGGTGGGTCAATAACTATGTCCACTTTGAATATTGCCGTTATTTGTAATAATATGAGAAAAATGTTATATACAAAACTTACACGGTATAGAGGGGGGCATATTGTGACACAAACATTTTCTGCGTGGGTGAAGGCATAGAGGAGATTTCAAGGTCATCTCTATTTTTTTTTCATTGGAATGCTATGTTTTTTTTATCGCCATGTGATAGCCTGTGTTGAGACGACTTTAGCGAGCTATCATTGAAGGTCATGCAAGGTCGAATGTGGTAGTAAGTATACATCAGAGCTCTGTAATACTATAAGCATAATACTACCCCTGGCGAAAAGAATTTAATTGATCAAACTAATCGTTTGTTATAAAAATTATTAGTGTATTAAGTGTAAAGATGTTTTTAGTAACAGGAAACGGGATAGAATGAAATTTGTAATCTTGAATTAAGTAAAATAATAATACAAAAAATCGATGTTTATATTTACTTAAAAAATATAAACTGAAAACAGTATGCAGTGATTGGAGAAAATCTTGAATTATTTCTAGATGTTTGAAAAACATACTTTATACACGTTTTTATCATCTATTTCGTTTAGAAATTAAAAATTTACTTTCACATTTTGTGATTTTATTTACACAATTTTATATTGCTCTTACATTTTAGTGAATTTTATATTATTCTACATTTAGCTGAAACACAAAAATATTTATTGTTATACAATATATTTCTCAAACATCATGAACTTTTCTATTTTATTGCATACTCTTCTCTTCGTGTTTTAGTGCCTGTGTAAACAGTTACTTCAATGATCATGTTAATTTCTTTAATTAAGCACTTTCCGCCAGGAACAGTATACTTGCTGTTCATAAGTGTTACGAGGCTGTATTCATTTGAGAAAAATATGATGTTTTATGTAGAGTACATTCATACCATTCTAAAAATAACATTGGGTTGGATAAACAAATTTTGACAACTAACTTTTGTTCAAATCTTGAAAGCTTATAATTGACATTTAAAAATTGCACGAACTTTTTGATCAAACCAATATTTCAATCGCTAACTGCAGAAAGGGAATATCTCAATTTGTCTAAGGAATTCGCTTTTTGGTAGGGTACGTTTGTAGACTAAATACACAGTTTACCGTAAAAAACCATCATAAGTATACGTTATCTAATCGACCATGGATATAAATCATTTCCGTTGACTGCAGAATCGGGAAATATTCAGGAGATGTCCCCTGAAAATTTTCGTCCTCTGCAAATTATAAGATTTCGTCCCTTTTCTGCAGTTAACGATTTATTTCTTGAAAACCTTCGGTAATTTCGTAATGTTTCGCTAAGTTCACTTCACATTCGATAAGTATCTTGATGCTCGTGAACGAAAGTGTATCTGGTACCGTATATCGGTTATCGTGGTCACTAATAACCGTTCAACTGATGTGATTTGATCCACAAACAAATATAAAAACTGAGTTCGTTAATCTGTAACATGTGGCTGATTAATGCAACCATATGTAAGATAGAAATTACAGCACACGTTGCTCCAGGGGTGAGCAGATCGGTCGCTCTAATTCCCTTCCACCTTTTTTTTTTCTTTTCGATCGACCGAAATATAGGTCGCAAACCCGTGCAGAATCTGTGTGGCAATACTTCGTATCAATTATGTTGTAACACATGAATTTTTAAGCGTTTGAAACGAGTTTGTCAAAGCAGTCACGTGCCTAATCTCCGTCTTCTTTTTCATCCACGAAGACCGCAGTGAATGTGTGTTACACGCGAAACCCGAACCCAAGGTTCATTTCGTTTCTTAGAGAAATCTTTTTTGTTTCCCCATCTGTATAATTAAATGGACATTGAAGTTTACGTTTAAAAATGTGTGATTAGATCTGACTGTCGATAAAATGAGAAAAATTTGAACAGGACTATAGACGAATTATCTTCGTCGCTATTATTATTATTATCGTCGAAGTATTAACAACAGACAAGCGGTATTGTACATACAACCTGACTATATAACAATGTAATTAAATGTACAGGATATTCTCGAATTGTTGATTCTAACTACAGTGGTTCGCAAATTTGTTCGCGGAATGTCGTAATTATTTATTTAACCGGGTTACGTACCAAACAGTGATTTTTATTTCAAAATTAAAATCAAAATTGATCACAAGAGGATGATCAACGCAATGATAATTAGGAATCGCGGAAACATTTCCTACCTTAATTGTTATTTGGAAAGTATGCGAACGTATCTGGGAATCACTGTATTTCTAGGGGAGGAAGAAACAAACAATAAATACTTCAAAGTCGTTTGGCAATCTTAGCATGATTGTATCGTCCTCAATTTAAACGCATCTAATATAAATTACGATAAACACAGGAATTACCTAAAACAATTTTAATTAATCGTAAAAGGAAGTAAGTAATATGAACAGATCGATTATTATCGACAGTTACCGTCAATTCTGTTATACACTATCTATAATCGCTATTATTTGCACACTTCACGACAATGCACAAAAGTGCATAAAGGTAACATAGGAATGTAAAACATTCAAAAGCGTCTAGTATGACACTTTCCACCCATCTTCGACCATTATAAAAATACTTGTCTAGCTTGTCCCACCTGTACAGTACACTTTCCATATTAACAAGTGCATGAAAGTAACATAGGAATCTAAAACGTCCAAAAGCGTCTAGTATGACACTTTCCACCCATCTCCGACCATATTAAAAATACTTTTTGAGCTTGTCCCACCTGTACAATACACTTTGCATATCAACAACAGCATTTTCTAGAATTCACACAACAACTATCACCCAACAGTTCCCTCAATCGTTCACCAACTGGCGTTAGAGAGAGACATGCCTGTTCGATTAGAGACTGGGCCGATTTCACGGCAAGAATTCAACGTATCAGGAGCCAGCGATCGTTGCGTTGTCCCTCTTCCGACGCGACAGCCACTGTTTCTTAATCATATCTGCGCCTTTCTCCCCGATCATGATCACAGGCGCATTGATGTTGCCGTTGGTGATCGTGGGCATGATCGACGCGTCGATAACCCTGAGACCATCGATCCCGTGTACCCTCAATTCCGGATCGACAACGGCCATAGGATCGGTCCGTGGACCCATTTTGGCGGTGCAGCTCATATGATAAATCGTCATGGTGTACTGTCGGATCGCGCAGTCCCAGTACTCGTCCGTGAACAACGGCAGGTGTTTGCAGTTCGGCACAGGCTTACTGTGAAACCTGGCGCCGAAACGTTTCATGCTGCTCGTTTCGCCAAAAGCTATCGCAGCTTTGACGCCCTCCCTTAGAACCCGAACATCATCCGGATGGGTCAGATAGTTATGATAGAGTAGCGGATAATCCAACGGATTCTTCGATCTGAGCTTGACGACGCCGCGAGACTTTGGTCTTAGCATCATAGGGAACACGCCGAACACATCACGGTTATTGATTTTACCGAAGACCTCGTTGTAGAACTCATCGGTCAGTCCATGTGCGTTCTTCACGTGTGTACCACCGTCTGAGCTGGTGGATGAGGAGGTCAACATAAACTCGATGTCTGGCCAGTCGTCGCTCTTGTTCGCGTACTTCGTGGATATGAATCCTACAGCCTCTAAACCGACGTTAGAGGTCAGAGTAGACCACCTACCGCGATGTGGTCCTGCAGATTCTGGCCTACACCTGGCGAGTCTTGGATCACTGGGATCCTCACCTGTTCCAGGTGTGCCCGAGGACCTATACCAGACAGCATCAGAAGCTGCGGCGAATTTATGGCGCCAGCCGCGAGTATCACTTCTTTCTTCGCGTACACCACCTCTTTGCGACCATCCCTGATGAACTCCACACCGTAGGCCCGTTTGGTCCGGGGATCGATCAGAATACGCGTCACATGGCTCCATAGAGACAGGTGGAAGTTCTTCCGTAACTGGATCGGCCGGACGAACGCCTTCCCTGTGCTGCATCTTGTTCCCCTTCGCATCGTGTACTGGTAGAACGCGAAACCCGTCTGTTGTTCGCCGTTCACGTCGACCAGCTCGTAGCCCATTTCCTCGCCGGCTTGTAGGAAAGCCACCCCCAATGGTGTGTTGTACGGCGCGTCTTGCACGGTCAGGTAACCACCTGGAACAGAACGCAATAAACGGTTTAGGATAGTAAATGTGCACCACGATTAATAAGAATAATATTTATACAAAATATAACAAAACCAAGACAACTGATAAAAATAAATAATCCAATAGTAATAAAACTATGATGTATCGGACGCTGTTAACGGTTCGACGGTTGACGATGTTCTGCCCGTTTCCACCGTCTTCCCATGGTTACTCGAGGAAACACGTGTCTCTTTTTCTCGAGACTTGCCAGAAAAGGAGAAAGTTTCCCTTCAAGCACTTGGGAAGACGGCGACGTAATTCGAACCTATCCTGAACCTCTGACATGCAGATGTTATTACCTGGTAGGCAAAAGTGCAAGGAAACGCCGAAGCAGTAAAACAATCGAAGCTAACATTTATTACAGTCATTCTCTAATTTTCGAGTTTCTTAAAGACCTCAAGCAAATTTATTTTATTCAACTTTGCTATAAATATCAAATTTTTTGGGTCGAATAGAAAATATACAATGTTTTTTATTTGGATATTTTTTTTCGTAATACACTATGCCTCCATCAGCGATGTCACGAGTAACTTACTAGTGTAATCCTTATGGCGTTTTATCTGACCTTATAATCAATGTTCACGTAATCAATTTTTTTTGCAGTGTGATCGTTCGATTTATCAGGAACCGGTTTATCGATGTTACGTACATCCGGTTAAAACGTCACAACCTGACCCCATTTCACGGCGTTGGTAATGCGTACCCTGTCACAGGTTGATGTTTCTCGGGTGGCTGCATTGATTTTCAGTGTCAGATGAATAGTTGTTCAGTGTCAGTTGAATAGAAAAGAAACAATTTCATTTATTCGTTGCCAATGTTAATACAAAAATGTAATGGCTTGCTGACTGGTATACAGTGAAATTTTGTAAATTGATTTTTTTTTATAAATTTCAAGATATGTAATATGTATATATTTTTATTATGGCTCATTGTGGCATCTAGTATATGTACAGTACTGTTCAAACGGTTTTGGTACATCTGATTAGAAAAATTCTCTCTAATTTGTATTCTTGTTATAATATCGTTAATATATTCATATATTAACTTATGTATATCTCAGAATGTATTAATTAAATTTTTGATCGTGAATATAATGTTAATCATGTAGTAGTGCTCTATTTTTTCTTGACCTACAAATGTCGACATCAGAAACTATCAACTTAAATTGTCATACGTATAAACAAATTCCTTTCACTTTGCAATTTGCATACGAAGGTTGAATACCAATTACCTTGAGTGTACTCGAACATCTAACGATAAACAGTAGTGTATGTTCCCTTATTCTTCCTCGATTCTATCGTATTTTACAATCGTGTTTGTTATTGCCAATATTTTACAGATTGAATTAATTCTTAAACATACATACATATTTTGACTTTTATATACACTGCGTGGCATAACCGTTATATAAAACCACCCTAAAATTTTCAACTCTTATGTATTGTGGTTAAAATAGAAACGAACCAAGTATGCCATGTTTCAAATCGTGTTGAGAGATAACGTTTACCCAGAAAAGGATCGATTACATTCTGTAGAAAAAAGTGGTACGTTTTTATTTTAACCACAATGCATAAGGATTGGAAAATTTTCTTTGAAATATCGAAGGTGATCCCTTACCAGTGTTATGATATTTGGTGTTACGAGCTAAATAGGGATTCCTTTGGTCCTCGGATTTCTTAAAGTAAGGCAGGACATTGTCATAGCCCCAACCGTAATTTCCGAAGCTTTCCCATTGGTCGAAATCACGACGATTTCCTCGAATGTAGAGCATCGTGTTGAGCACACTTGAACCACCGAGAACCTGAAATTTCATAAACAACGTCAGAAAAAGAATATGTCCTAAATAATTTTTTAATTTATTCGAAGTATTCGCGTTGCGTGTCTTTTGTGCGTTCTCTTCGATGTACAACAGACAGTCGCTGTTGAAAAAGGGAGAAACCTCGACGGTTTCCTGCTTCAAAATGCAAGAAATGTATACATATATATGCACTGCTATTATATTTAAGTAAGTCACTGACAATAATTGTTTTTGTATCTCTATTATTCACCTTATAATATTGAAATCACCATAAACATAGTTCTGATTTTTCTTTAATAAATATTGTGATTCCTATTACTCTAATAATAAAATATTTCTATATTTTAATATTTCATGATTTTGTTAACATTCTTTTATTCATCATTACACTTTTTTGTTTTGATTCAAGTACCTAATATCGACACTGCCATTTTATTCATTTTTTTTTTTTTTTGGATCGATATTCTAAGTTTTCAGAACATCGACAATCGCAAAAATTTTGAAAATCTTCCGCTTCTTCGGCAGTGGATCACACGATATTAGTGAAAAAGGAGTTTAAAAGAACCATGAGTGAAATCGAGAGAACGTAGACGTCTTATTTAGCTACCTATTGTAGTACTTCTTTCGAAGTTTCACAGCAACGCATTGTTTCAAGTGGTAACTGTGTGATTGCTCGCGTAAAACTGTCCATTTTATGCACAGATTACAAAAGACCTTAATACCTTTCGATTAGCGTACCGGGATACCATAAAGGAGGGCACGCTCTGCTTTCTACTTGCGTTGCTGCACACTCGAATCGCTAATTCGAGCTACAAAATTCACGCATAAATATTTTCTAATTAACGTAGAGTAACTGTACCTAATATAACCTAGCACGTGATATCGCCACTCTTGATATCTCGTGACGAAAGCGCTAAAATCTGTTGTTAATGACTTAAACTAGTGGCTGAGTATGTGTAGGAAGACACAATCTGGTTGCAAACGTCACATGAGCAATGAAACATTGTTACAATAAGAATTTAATAACTTTTTATGCTGTATAAATTTGGTGATGAAATTGTTAAAAATTTATGCTATAAATAATTAAATAAACATATTTTTAACAATTTCATTATACAGTTTTATAGAGCACAAAGAGTCATTAAATTTTTATTCCAACAATTTTTGTATATCTGGTATAACTTTCAAGAATATTACATGAAAATAGGAAACACACATCAACCCTGTTTTGTATGTACAACTTTGGGCAATTTTTTATTGGTAAACCTAAATAAAATAACTTAATATAAAAACCCAAAAAACTAAAAAACCCATTATAATACTAGACACCTAGATGCCCACTACTAGAGAAAGATACGCTAAAAAACTACCTTGATTTACGAAAAAAATTGGTTCATCATAGTGCTATAAATACTTCAATATCTTCAAATTTCATAACGTCGTAGGATCTAAATGGAGGAATAAATAGTGACAAAAAAAATGTTAAGCAAATCTTTGAAGCCCTCTTTCACAACTGCAACATGAAAAACAGAATTCATTATGTAAGCTCACTGAAAAAAAATTGCTAGTGAAACGTTGTGTTAACGCAACGTTGGGTCCTAATGGATTAATCCAGTTCTGCCATAGCTAAAGGATCGACAGGGTCAACGTTCATAAATAATTCGTCATAATCTTCAAAATGTCACAAAAAATCCTCAGAAACAAAATGCTTTACCTTCCCCCTGGTCCAGCAACACCGATGATCGACCATCGCCTGACACGCCGAGTCCTGCGGCTGCGTCCTATACTTCCAGTCCACTTTGCTCTTGTGCAAATAAATTGACAGTATCGGCACGTCCGTAATTTCCGTCTCGTGTCCCCCCGCCTCCAACAGCAACACGGTCCATTCTGGATTCTCCGTGAGCCGATTGACGACCACGCTTCCGGCCGAACCACCACCGACCACCACGAAATCGTATTCCCTTCGTAGACTCTTGGTCACCTGCGGCTGATTCTCTGGATCCATCAGATCGTAGTTAAAGTAGGCTAGGGCTGCGATCAGAATGGGAATAATGGCCACTTTCCCGAGAAGAATCGTGGCGCCCTTTACGGCCAACGTGGTCGCTGTCACGAGTCCCATGTTTCCTTTTTATCTCGATTTCTTCGGAGACGTTGGAACAAAGTGTGTACTCGAAAGAAGCTTTATCCTTCTTTTTTTTTTGGTAAGATTATGTCTTTATAGTGTGCAACATTCGAAGCATTTTTCAGTAAATATTCAATGTTTCTTTTTTAAGTTTGCAAAGACTGTTCAGTCGATCATTGCTAATGACGAGGTAGTTGAAGGTTGGAATGTACGATTTTGATTATGTCATAGGTGTTACGGGTGAAATTGGGCGGTCTCATTACGAACAAATTCCATCTGTATGATGGTGTTGAATGATGTTATGGTTGTTTCTCTTCCGGGCGTAGTAGCTGTGACACGAACGAATTTTATTGGTCCTGATCGTGTCCCTTCGAGACATGACAAAAAGGAACCGGTTGATGCTGTGAGAAAGTCTCCTCGGTGCTCTGGGTCCCTGGTGCAAACAAGCTGAAGAGCCACCGGGTCAAGTTATTGGATGCTTCCTCTTATGGTGTCTCGAGGGAACCTGTAACAAGACATGGAGAAATTTTGTAGTCTTCTGCACGTAATAATCTAACGAAGGATTTTGTGGTCCTTTCGAATCGAAATGGACGATACGGGGATTCTGTTTCTTGATGTGTGCCCAAGTACAGGGTCAATAAGTCCATATAGGGAGATAAATAAGTCCTCGACAATTGTGATTCAAAATAAAAAGGTAACACTAAAAGATGTCGAAACTTTGTTAAAAAATGTGCAATAAGAATCGAAAAGGTATCTAATTGGTGAGGTTTTCAAAGTGTTTGCCCTCAGAAGTAACAATGATTGCTACATCAATTGGTACTGCTTGGTGGCTCGACATCGCTCCATGCCGTTTCTTCCGAGTTGTTTTTAACTCGCACACAACGGAGAAGGATATCGTTCAACAATCAATTATACTCCATTATTTTGAGGCCAGATTACGATATTGTGTTACTTCTGATGACAAATACTTTAAAAACCTCATGAATCAAATATTTTTTTAAGAAAAAATTTTTTAACAGAATTGCTACGTCTTTGAGTGTTACTTTTTTATTTTGAATCACAGTTGTCGAGGACTTATTGATCACTCTGTACAATTGCATATTGACATCTTGGAAGGATCGGTCCATAAAATCGTATGTAGTTTCTTAGAAGTTTTTTTTTTTTAAAGAAAAATACAAGCGTTATGTTTAACCAATGACGTTCTTCGTTATTTCGTCGAATTTTAAATATTCATGCACGGAATATAGACATTACATTTTGAACCAACATACGAGTTGTTGACATAGTATAATACATTGAGATCAAATACTTTTTGATTATTTTCGAACAGTTTGAAACAGGAGAAATATTTATTTAGGATGATCTGTTGCGTGTGACCTTAGAGCGACACTAAAGGGTCGCGAGTGACCCAGAATATTTTAATTAAATGTGTTATAATAAAATGTGCACTTGTAGCAGTGTACAAAAATATATGAAGGAAACATAGGAGAGACCCTATATGTATATAAATGAAATATACGCTCTTACATAAAAAAATTGTGTTTTCCAAATTTTTCATTCTAAATCGGAACACCGCGTTTATTTTTACACGTTTACTTCAAGTAGGTGGACACATAGAGAATATTTAAAATTAATACAGTGCATATGTATATACTTAGTTTTTCCAATTTTTCATTATAAACATATATTTTAAAGCAATAAAGTAGTCAGTTCTATCACGAATGCCTTGCACTTGGTTGTTGTAAAATGATACTTATTTTCTGTTTCAACACGCACCTTTTTTAAACTTTCCTTCGACCATAATTATGTCTACGAATATGAATAAATTATTCGGAGAATGATATACACAGCTATAAACGAATCACGCAAGGACATTGCTGGTTGTCGATGATAGAAGTAAGAGTAATCAATGGAACCGATACTCAGACTTCGATTTTTTCCATACTCGTATTCTGTTTATGTTGAAAATGGTGCAAAACTAATTTCGCGAAAATCAAGAATATGGTTGCTGTGGTTACAGATGTACGCGGATAAATTGCAAACAAATAAACAGGAAAATGTAGAGACACCGGTTTCAAAATAAACGACTCATTTGTCAATGTACCAATCTATTCGACATTCCTTCTCTAAGATAAGTCGTCATTGCAATACACCGTCTCCTACGTTAATTTCTGGTGAAACTTTTGAACGTTACGTAACATTATTTCAACGAAATATTCAGATTACCCTCGGAATAGCAGTATTGACAGTAATTTATCGTCGATCCGATTAAGCATAGACACGTAGTCTTTTCGTCAAAGGGAATCCAGGATTGTTACGTCATTAGACTCGAAAATATTTGGCGTACGACACGTGCTGAAACTGTGAATCTAATAGCAAATAGTAAATAATCTATTTTATTTTCAACAAATAAAGTAGTTTCTTGGTTACAGTAACGTTTTAAAATAATATTTAAAAATAACTTTTTAGTGCAGCGACATTAAAAATAATGCGGTTATATTTGGAAATATTGTATTTATCTTAATGTGTTTTCAGTATACTTGCTGAAATCATCTTAGATTTTTAGCAAGTACTTCCTAAAAATCGCTGATTTTAAAAGGGTTAATATCTCCAATAAAGGTGTTCTTTTTGCAGATTTGGGTTTGAGGACATGCCACTAGAACAATTATATGTTTTAATTACCAAAAAAATGATATATGTATATTTTGGGTCACGATCTCACTCAAAGACCCATGAGTGCACTTCCAGCTGAATTTGATTTTGAAATATTTCAATATCCAAATTTCTTCATGATACTATGAATAAAAACCATCAGTCCTACACCAAATACCAACCATAATAAATTATTAATAATACATTCATCACGTTTAAGAATTCCTAACGATATTTACAAAATTTTGTGGTTATATCTTCGAATTCCTTTCTCCCGAATTTTTCGGCTGCCCATCCATCCCGAAAATGTTTAAGAAAATCGTATGAAACTGCACTACTGTCGTGATCTTACGCTAGTACGATGCTACAGAAGTACTACACAAACCTCACCTTTTTAATGTATACACTTAGCTTTAACTCTGACTCAGTCTTATAATTTCGAAATAACGATTTAAAAATCTCAGCCTTAAAGGTTCAAATAACGTTCATACTACTTTTACAAGACTTCGTAAAAGCGACGGAAAATTTGTTTATGAAGCTCGAATGATCCGGAGAAATAATAAAATCATAAGGACGAAGGTTCGTTTAGCACCCACATCAAAGGCTGTTCTTTGGATGAAAGGATCATCCAATTCCTGATTGCTTTATGCACTCGTGGGTGACGGTATTTCGCGTGCGTATACAGAGGCGGGACAATAAACGTGAAACTCCGAAACACCGTTTCTCACTTGCATGTTAACGAGCCCCATTCACCAACACAACAAGGCCGATCGTATGGACACACGCGATTCGCCAATACTGACGGTTCTACGTTCACGACGTGGAATCGGCGAGAGAGGCAGACGCGGAACAATTCCAAGTGATCCACGCGCGTTTGCATAACTTTCTTCCTGGGACAATGCAGTGCCGGTGACATCGTCATTCACCAAGGACGTGCCAGTCATCGTCGAACGAACCTTTTTACGGACGACACCGTGGCATACTTCCTTTCTACACGGTTCGTCTGGAAAGTTCACGGAGTAATTCGACAAAAACACAATCATTTGCACGTAAACAAATTTTGTTAATTTAGTTCTCTACATAAACATCTCCCATTTCGATGCAACAACTTGCATAACTTCGAAAGTCCTTCAATGGAAATCATTTTTAGGGATGGCCTTTAACCCCTTGGTGGTGAAGATGTCAATATCGGATGAAATAAACATGAATGTTGTTAGGTTTCTTTGAGTCGAAGTGAAATATTATTCGGCTCGCATTGATATTTAATATTTCAGAGTAAATGTTAGAGAGACCAGAGACCAGGACAATGTAACAATTTGTCTTCTGGAGTCTGTAAGTTCTAAATTTTGTAGAATTTTTTAAAAATTCCTACCCGATGACAAACCTTGGATTTGGAATCGAATAGAAATTTCTATCGAGGTCCATATGAAACGGAAACCTCATTAAACTGCATTCAAGTTCTTAACTATTTCGAATGTTAGTCGCGTATTTTTATAAACGCATGAAGTTCACATCTTATTTATGAGGGGACTAGTATTTACAGCGTATAAAGTGCAATGATATAGAGACTTTAAGAGTGTTCACAGAATAAATTAATTTACCGCCACACCAATAGAACCACCGAGGAACAAAAATCAATTTCTATTTATTTATCTTGTATATAAAAACTTGAATTCGCTTGAAGATATTAATTAATGTAATTTTTTCTGGTGTTGCCAGTTTTTTGTATCGTTATCAAGACATTAGCGATAGTCAGTACTATCTATTCTTAAAGATCTAAACCCATTTTTTACCACCCTGTATGTGGATACAAAAACGCCGGAGTACAGGTTATTGTTTGGTCTAGGTCACGGACCACGAGTCCAGCTTATTATGAATGGGTTAACGTACTTGCGATTAGAACGAATGATTAAGAAGAGGTTGATCGAAGCAAAGCCGAAAAATCATCAGAAGCAAGAGGAATAGTTCATATTTACACGACACAACTCACTAACATATTGACATCGAGACGACATTGCGTGACTAAATATGAAAAAAGTCAGAATCGGGAGAAAGAGTTAACATTTAAACAAGTTTACTATTATTAAAAATAAAGTAAAACAGAAACGAGAGAAAGAATTAGTAATTCAAACTAAACAATTTAAATAACAAATTCACTGTTGTGTCATTATCACGAAGATATCGAGTAAGAAATAAAAATAAAAATAGAAACTTCATCAACACATCAAGTATAATAATAGAACACATCCATCGTTGTTCCACTTCTTCACTTTATACCTTACAAACAAACATAGACGTTGATTTTCATATTAATGTTTCCGTTAACCCCTTACCCTACGATTTTCTAGACATCTGCAGACTCCAGGATTACATTGTTGTCGATATTTTCCCAAAAAACAAAATTCTGTACATATCGCAACTGTACTTTTACCGTAAAAGTTAAATATTAATGTCAGCAATGTGGCATATCACTTCGACTCAAACAAAAACCGAATAATATTCTTCTGTGTTGAATCGATTTTTAAATCGTCAACACGAGTCTGACTCGATGTTATAGGGCAAGGGGTTAAAACTTAGATATCTCTTCCATTGAACTTCATAAACCGTGCTACGCCTGAGACGTTCGAGGAATTTATATTAGACACGGTCCCTGTTCGATGAAAATGCGTTTTTTTTTTTCCGTCGAGTGGAATAACGTGAACCTCGAACGAATGTCGAAATCGATGAAACGATCCGTACCCGTGACGACTGCCGTTTACATCGCTCCGAAAAAGGCGCCCGGATCCCCGGTGTGGACCACGCTCGAGAGACCACGTGCGTTCAAAGACGTCTTGGATCCGAGGAACTCGCGGACGCAGAGAAAGCGAAAGACTGAATGCTCGAACATTACGTTCTACGTATAAACGGCCACGACGGTACCACCACTTTGTCAGAAACGGTCCCCCTGTTGTACTTGCACCTTCGATCATCGGGGTGCGACCTTCCCCCCCCCCCTGATCGCCCGACATTTTTATGCCCCCTTCGCATAATCTCGCTTCTTGATCATCATTAGATCGTAATTAGCATTCGTTTTTTTTTTTCACCTATCGCCTCGATATTATAATTGTACCGTAATTAACACAAGACATTACTGACCATAAATGTACACTCCCCTTCATATATCATCAGATACTTGATTCATTCGAGAAATATAGAAATTGAAAGGGAAATGCAATTACTCGAAGCAATCTCAGTAATTTATACTGTTTTCTGGTGATATAGTGATTATTTACTCAATGCTTGGACTATTACGCGAATTACGTAAGAATGACGAATATTTGGTTTTGTTTGACAATTTCTTCAATTTTTGGATCACAGCGTGATTTCAATAAATGACTCGGTTTTTTCGTGCAAGGTTATAATAAATTATTAAGTCAAGTAACTTGGATTTAAGGCCTATGGAATTAGAAAGGAATAACGCAATAACCAGTCCGATGAATCGTGACTTGTAAGATTTTTAATTTTATGGATTTTTTATGGTTGTTCATCCTATGGTTGAATTTTTGGAACAGCCCCTGTATTTTTATATACTTTTCGCCGGTAATATATGTATTTTCATTTATCATATCTGTCTTCAATTGTTTAAATAAAATGTCAGAAACGTACGTTACTCTCCAAGAACATAAAGTAACATGTAAAATCAATATAAAGTGTGAACGCGAGTACTAAATATAGTTATTTTATTTCTTAAATTTTTTTTACTTTAGTATACAGGGATGATCGAAAGAAAATTTATAATTCATCATTTTTATATATACTTTTGACTTGCTCTCCTCTAAAGTTTGAAAAGTGTGACTTAATACACTCTGGCTCTGGGTTCCACATATACTTATAGCACTGTCTTGACTTCATACATGTGTATCTTTGCGATAAATTCACTATCTCTACGAAGAAACGTTAAATTTCGTTTAATACAAAATCTATTTATTTTCCGTGAAGTTGGTTTTACTACTGTGTTCCTCTTTTAACCGTTTATAAGGCCGAGCTAGATTTATCTCACTTTCGTAAAATAACCTGTTTCCGCCAATTCAAATGCGGGACTCGACAAAATCTTGTCTAACCAGATATTTATCCATGGTAATTAGGGATCATGAATGGAGTTTAATATTGCGTACAGTTTCTCACATTGTTCAGCCTCTTTGGATTTAAGTCAAAATATGAAACACTAAAAAAATAAAACAACTTCACTTCAATTGAATAACAACTTTATTTTAACCTTAACTCTTCTTATACAAAAAATCACTATTACAATGCTAAACACAAATTGGAAACAAAAATAAACTTCAAACATTTTTCTTTAGGTATTCCATTTAAGAAAACGTTACCATTAGAAAAATCTCAGAAGATATGACCTTGAGATGAACTTCAATCTCATAGCCTAATTTTCCCTCTAAAATACACTAACTTTCTCCCGAACCATTTTTTTATACCGTGACAAATAAGAGAATAATTAAGGGTTGCAGAGTTAGGTTGGACACTCTGTATATATTTTCGTACTTTGGCTCTAATCATTTTGTATATAATAATTAATCGTAAAATACTACAAAATCTATTACCTCATTTTATCACTGTCCCTTTCGATTAATCGTGCCCGTCATAGAAGTTGAGTAGCGTGACATCGAATGTTTTCCAGTTTATTGGGAAATCGATTGATCACCCTTTCCACGCCGACGATCAGAATTTCGCCCGGGAGTAATGATTAGCCTTCCAATGGCGGTTCGTTACGCAACTAATTGCCCAGAAGATGGATCCCATCCGATTTCTGAAGGCTGAAAATGTGGGTCGTGAACCTTATTCACGATTTCGATGGTGTGTACGTGGTTGTGTTCACGGAATCATTTTAGTATTCTCCATTAATCGATGACAGAGTTGGACACAATTTTATTCATATAACGCATAGTGAAAAACAACGTTATCTAATAGCAGTGTTACAAGATTGGGCGATTTATCGCAATCTAGGCGACTTTTGTATTAAAATTGCGATGATTTCTTTTTAAGACATCGCAATTTCGAATTTATATATAATTATACGCTACTGTTAAGAATTATTCCTTCACTTGTACACTAGTGAAAAATTGTCGAAATTCAATGTTCCATAACTTTGTTAGTGTTCATCATAATTTGTTTAAAAGAAAAGCAAATTAAAGTTTGAACCTTCTATTTTGACCTTTTTATTTGATCTTATAAGTTGGTGCCCATGGAGTAAAATCTTTACTTATAAAGAGCAGCCATTTACAGGAACACCTACCTCTTTATGGTTTCATATCTTTCGTAAATGGTACCGTTCAAATTTTCACTGCAGTAAATCCTCGATGAATGTTCGAAGCCTCCTCGGCACTGAACATTAAATATTTCATAAACTTAATGGTCATATGCGCCTGAAACAAATATCATTGTCTTCAGAATTTCAAGCTCTATCACTGTGCCAAATCTCATTAAAAAGTCAGCGTTACACCTGGGGACCCCTCCTGAGCAATGCCAAATAGCCTTCGCACACTTATCCAGGATTTACTGTATTGCGACTTTGGGCGATTTTACACAACTGTGTTTGTTAGAATCTTATAAAAAATTTAGCAATACTGTCTAAGAAAGTTATTCTGATCTTTAAACAGTTAATAAGCTGAAATAATTGGTCCCCAAGTGATTGAGGAAGAAATTTTGGATTCCCATATTTGAGCAATGAAAAATGGTGAGGTACTTTTTTGAATGGTTTTTATTACTGTTCGAAATTCTTTATCTAGGTAATGAATTTGCTCATCTCTGGTCGATGGTATGACAAGAGATGCGACCGAAAAAGTGGGACAAGAGTGACGGTGCAAATGTACCTCACAAACGTGAACTGTCGTAGTGAGAGGAATTGCAACCCTTTTTTTTTGCTATTTTTATTTATCTAGTCGATGATTATCTTCCATGTTGAAATGCGCAACTTTTTCTCTGCGATGGCAATTATCTGGTATCGCTCAAGTAATTATTGAAAATCTTACAAACTTGTGTAAACATGATCTGCATAATTACGATCTCTGTTATAATATTTATTAATTGGTGTATTAGTTTCTTATAAATTTCGTAATCTAAGAATTTATGCGTATATTGAGTTCAAGTGTCAAATTGTGTAGCAATGTTGTATTACTATTTCTCCAGTAGAAATAATAATAAAGACACTGGACACAAAACGGCACTAATTTTCCAGACGACCTAATAAAAACTTTATTCATCGTTTGGCAGTTAACAATTCCTTAGTGTGGGAATATTTCTCTAATTCACTGTGAACATACTGGACGCACCGTGAAATGTAAACAAGTATTTCCGTTTTTATCCATGTGCAGTCACTTTCTCGTGTACAGAATTAACCGATTAGGACTTAACGTTGCGTTAATCCAACATTTCACTCGCGATTTTCTTTCACTGAATGTTGCATTTATTTTTCATTTTCATATTGCAGTTATGAAAGAGGATTTCAAAGATTTGCTTAATATTTTTTCTTCCGCTTAAATCCTACTGTGACGTTTTGAAATTCAAAGAAATTGAAGTAAGTATGCATAGCATTACGATAAATCAATTTTTTCTTAAATCATGGTAATATGTTGGTGTATTTTTCTCAGATAATGATCTTATATAATATAGTATTTAGTATAATGCATTTTCTGTATTTTGAACAAATAATATATAAGCTATTTTATTACGTTTACGACCCAAACATTTCTTTGATACCATTTATATTTTTTCTTATACACTTCCATAAATAATAAATAATTCTATTCATAAAAATCGCCTTATTTCACTACTTGGGACTTAATGGATTAACAAACGAAGATCATAGTTGTGTTTTCAGCCCCGGCGGGCTCGCGAAATGCTACTCACCTGCTCTCTCCGGTTTTGTCTGTTCGAATATCCGTTGTCGCGACTTCTGCCTCGTCCTCGTATTCGTATTACACACCCGATAGAAAAAATTTCACTTTCACCCGGACGATTTTGAAATCTACCAGTCGGTCTTACCTTTTCACTCCAATTCCATAATATCGCGACCGTGGTCGGTCGGTAAATCTCCGCCATATGTGAAAATTGGGAAAGACCCTTTACAGTAGAAAGTTCCCATTCTTAATTGAATACAACGCGTGGATTCAGAAAACCGGCAATGATTTACGTCGGTTAATCAGCGGCGATTAGATGGTAATTTGAAACGCAAACGAATACCTAAACAAACAATTTTGTTTCCCTCGCATGGGTTTGCATGTAAATTTACTTAACACATTTTGTGTTTGAAGGACAAAAATACCACTGGCCCTTCTAAGTATCTGGACAGTCGGTTGATTCGTAGAAACAGTGCAAGCATGATACTAGAGAACAGTAAGTCCTCGATGAGTGCTCGTAGGCTTCTGGGTACCGAGAAGAAACGGTCCCCAGGTGTAACACTGACTTTTTAATGAAGTTTGATATTTGTTTCAGTCGCATATGACCGTTAGTTTATGAAATATTTACTGTTCAGTGCCGAGGAACCTTTCAACACTTATCGAGGATTTATTGTATGAAGCGATACACCCAACCTGTCATCTAAATTACTTGTAAACTGTTTGTTGGATGAAAAAATGTGGGTGCATAATGTAATCATTAGTTTTTTGATTTTTTGCTTTTTTATCGAGATGTGTTTCCTAGAGAGAGTTTTCCCAGAGAAAAGTGAAACAAACCAATTTTTATTACTATGTAGATTAGAGTATTAACATGTTCTTCGTGTTTGGCACAGTGCTGATCACAGTTCACGCGCATTTAAATTCATCAGAACGCTGTTGCTTCATCAACCATAAATAATAAAGATAAAAAGAAATAGAAGAAGAGGAACATGAGAAGTGGATGTAACTTATGTTAGGTACTTTTTATTTGAACGGAAATGTTTTTACACTGATATATGGGTTACCTACTCTGGTCTGGCATTACTGGACGAGGTTGACCTAGCACTTTGATACTTTCTTGAAATATATGGATGAAACGAGTCCACGATGTCCTTATATGTTTATGATCGTGTCTATAAATCGTTATAGGGTTGTCAAGGCCGTTCCTGGCGAGGGTGCAGACGGTGTCGCCGCACCTATGTTTCTTTCTATTAACACTATAACTACCAAGCAAGTCACAATGACTTGTCAATACACTCTTACAACGACGATTAAAATGTTATAACAATACATTTTTTTTAGATCTTTTGCACCTTTTACTACGGCATGAAAATGAAAAAATTCGTCAATTTCTAAATTTTCAAAAGTTTTTTACATTTATCCACCGATCGAAGGAAATATGCGTTTATCGTCGGTAGTTCTAGTGTTAAAATGATCGTCTCTCATTTTCATGCAAAAAACGAAATTACTTTCCGAATAACCCAATACTTCATGTGCAACGACCTATTGATTCGAAGCCTGACGATAGGCAACATGTTGTACGCCAAAGTGAACGTGAAAAATAGTTGCTCGACCGGAAATGCAAACGTAACAAGGACCCGAAGCGACAGTTAAATTCAATCTGTCTTCATACGTCGATGTTTTTCACGAGCGAAAGTTTTATTGCGTGAATAAACGCACAATCCGCAAATAGTCAATCTCAAAAATACTTTAACATTACGGCAGTTTCTTTGCGGTTGTCGCGCATATTGTGTACGATAAATACTTCCTCAAAACTGTGAATTCCATTAGCCAAATGACGAACACATCGCAGAGTCATTTATGCGTTAAACGATTTTGCTATGGAGTTGTGCAAGTGATTTTGCAATAACAGTTATATTGTTGCATTTATGGATTAAAGCTGGATTCTGCGGTTATGCAGATAGTTTTGTTTGATTTGGCAACGTTTTCTCAGCACTGAAAAACGTTTCGTGGAATATTTGTTCTGACTTTTCAGGATATTCGCTACTTCTTTTTATTGTAAGCGTATATTTTAGTTACTGGGCGGTTGAAACCGACAGAGAAGCAACTTCAGTATTGCATAATACATCGTGATCTTTAAATGACTTTGCGTAATAAAAGTAATAATCGTTTAAGGATATCAGGAAATTTACGAGTTTTGCATTTCTGTGGATAATAATTATTTTATAAAAAATATTCGAAAAGATATCTGTTAATTTGCAATAGCTATTTTATGTCAATGCATTACCATTCCTTTAACAGATTGACTGTCGTAATAATCACAAATCTGAAATTTGAAATGAATGTACAGAATGTCCTCAAGTAAATAGTGCAATGAAGAAGAATGTGATCTTTGTGCAGAAACAAATGGGAAATATAGAAGAAAGGGATTTACAAATTTTGCTGGTGGAAGCAGCGTACGCAACGTGGTACGAGAAAGCAACTTTGTGTCCGTGAAAGTACGCGTGTAGGGGAAGTGCCTCTCGCGGCAATATATCAAGAGTCAACTGTACGTGAATTTCATCAGAATCTCATTCATGGAACCATTCCTCCTTAATCATATCGCTGGCTTTCTCCGCGATCATGATAGTCGGAGCGTTCGTGTTCCCTCTAACAATTTTCGGCATCACCGAAGCGTCGACGACCCTCAAGCCAAAGACCCCGTACACCCTTAATCTTGGATCCACGACCGCTTCCGGGTCCCATTTCGGTCCCATTTTGCAAGTACCCACCGGATGATAAATCGTCGCGGTGTACTCCATCGCCACGCACTTCCAGTAATCTCTGGTGCCGAATCGAAAGTGTCTGCAACCAGGCAAAGGCACGTCGATCAGCCGCAGTCCGTGTTCACGGAACGACCTTGTCCGGAACAAGTTCAGAGCGACCTCTATCCCCTCCACCATGATCTCCGCGTCTGGATAGGCGATAAATGATCTGGGATAAATCAATGGTGGTCCCCACAGAGGATCCGTGTCGTTAAGCAACAGGAAACCACGGCTTCTTGGTGCCAGTAAAATCGGTCTAATGTTGATGGCGTCGTAATAAGCCAAAGGCTCAACGGCTGTTTCGCCAAACTCCGCGGGGTCGTTGATATAGTCCATTTGATTGCTTGCGTCGAAGCTGTATTGAATATCAGGCAGGCCGTGTATTTGTTCGAATATCGTCTGGACGAATACTCCGCAGGACAGAGGTCCAGTCGCGGACAAGGGGCCCATCCGTGTCTTCCGATAGAGGAAGATGTCGTCCATCTTCGCTTGGTTATTCTTGCTCGTCGCAGTCCCGTTCACTGCGATCACCAAACCGTCCATTGTCACGTGATCCTGGAGGTTTTTCCCAACTGGTAAATCGCTAACGACCTTGATACCGTGTCTCTGTAACTCCTGAGCAGGACCTACGCCGGAGAGCATCAGCAATTTGGGTGAATTGATCGCGCCCCCGGATAGGATCACCTCCTTTCGCGTCATAGCGACTTTGGTCACTCCTGTTTCGGTTGAAACGTACTCCACGCCCGTCGCGCGTTTCGTCCTTTCATCTATCAAGATTCTGGTGACGTGAGCCCTAGTCTCGATCGTTAGATTCTTTCGTTTACGGCGGATCGGTCTGATGAACGCGCCGTTCGTGCTTTGGCGCATTCCGTGAACCGAAGTCGTTTGCAGTCTCATCACGCCTAGCTGCCTTTCCGTGTTGGCATCCACTGACTCGTGTCCGAGTTCCATCCACGCGTTTATTAGGATGTCCGTGTTCGGGTCGGGGTGGGGAAATCGCTCGACGTTCTGGTAGCCCCCCTGGCCATGGTAATGGGGATTCTCCTTCACGACCTGGAAAAGCGAAATGGTGGATCAGGCGTGAAGATGTAATTACTGGCGTATAACGCTAAGTAACGACGAATGTAGTTGTAACACACCCGGTTTGGAAAGTTACTGATTGTTTTTTGTAAAGAATAATTGAAATATACCGGGTGTCCCAGCTAAATAGGGTCACCTAAATATCTGCCTTATTTATTATTAAATGAAGAAACTTCTGAGAACAGAATTAAATTTCTTCAAGGGGCATATGTAACGGTGGAAATCATTTTTTTTTAAAGGTTGTTGTTCGTACGAGTTTCACGGTCGTCGGTATTTTTTTTAATTGAATCCTGTATTTTTTTTTTTCGATGTTTTTATAGATCATAGAAAAGGAATTTTGACGACCTTAAAAGCTCTCTAAATACGAATTCCACCGTGTACCATTTAAAAGCTATTATTGTGATTTAATTTGGTTTTTGGCTTTGAGAATTCGTGGTTATGAATGATTAGAACAATTCACCTCCGGGTCTTCGTTGTTTTCTGATTTGAGAAAATATGGTAGAACTTCACCGTAACTCCATCCATAATTCCCCTTCTCGGCCCAGTCATCGTAATCTTTCGGGTTTCCTCGGATGTAGATCATGTAATTCACCGTACTGGAACCACCCATTACCTGCGCGAAAAATAATGTCATCACTGTGTTAAATTTCTACACATATTTTGTCACGTAATTTTTTCTTTATCATAATTTTCAAGCTTTCAATAAATATCTGTTACAAAGAATCATCGAGCTCTTCAGTGAAGATCAGTTTTAGGACAATAACATTCACAAGTTAATAAAATATAATTCGTCACAATTTGTATAAAAATACGAACTTCAAACTTTCTTTTGACCACCATTATACATGTTTAATATTCAGATGTTGTGAGTGATTGACAAAAAGAACAATCGATATTCAAAGTATTGCAAATTAGTTTTGAAATGTCATCTAATATCTACTTTGCCCCTTGCCCACGCACAACTGCCGCCACGTCTGGATCGACAAGAGTGTTGTTCCGGTTGCGTGCGGTACATCCAATCGATGTTACTGGCTTGCAGCATCGAGGCGAACGCCGGAATATCGGCAACCACCGGTTCTTCGATGCCAGCTTCCAAGAGCAATATCTGGAAATTGTAAACAGAAGTTTCTTCATTTATACTGGTTTGCTACTTTTTTACGCGATATGTTTAAGAGTTTCCATCACTAACGAAACACGAGGCTCATTATTCAAATTATTTTACTAGTTTTATACGCGTTATGAATAGAAGTTCAATCGATCTACATATATCAACGTAATCCAATAGACGAGCTCACATTTCATGTCATGTTTAATGGCCAGGAAGCCACAAAATAGTCATAACATCGTCACAGACAATCTCGTGTTCTGTGACCCGTTTCAACGAAGCCCTTACTATTGCTCGACTTTTCAGCGAAAAGATTATCGACTTCTCTACCCTCTTTACCTAGTAAAAAGGGTTCGTACTACTTATTTCCTCTTGAACAATGCGCTGGCTTTAAAGAATTGTGCAACGTGTTCTGTTATCACTAGAACTACCAAGGCAATACAAATGACTAGTTAGTAAACTCTTATAGAAATTATTACAATGCCATGACAGTGTATTTTCTAAGATTCTTCGTAACTTTTATTGTAATATATAAGTGATGAAATTTGTTTAGTTATCGATTTGCATATTTCCAACAAGCTGCCCCATTTATGAACGTGATAAAAATACAAAACATATTTATCTTCAATAGTCGTAGTGTTAATAAATTCAAGATAGTAACGAAAAAGGTAGTCCAATTTTACGTTTTACCATTAATTGTTACTGGACTGGGGATGTTTACGAAAATTCTTATTCTATTAAATGCTTACGCAAATATCAGGTGGATAGAAAAATTGGTATTACAAGTTAACGAATTTTTTAAGTAATATAGCGGTGAAAGACTTATTAATATTTGTCATAGTTTTGGTTTCATTACTTTCGAGGTGTTTGTGCAACATAAATGGATAATTATAATCAATTTAACAAGGAATAATAAATAATACTTTTTGAATGTTTCGCAAAAGAAACACGCCATAAAACACTTCAATCTGAATAATATTAGTCATCCATTTGTAATGCATTCTAACGCCTGTAAAAGTCTGAGTAATCCTGTTTCTTCGGCGTCGTAAAAACGCATTCCTTCTACTCGCAATTTCACTTTCAGGTTCCAGGTGCACCAAATACAATGTGGTGACGAGTTCCACCCAAGTTGATTCGAACAACTAACATAAATTTATTTCGACATTTACGATATTAAATTTATTAAGTGGTCAAACCAGTGTAACTGTGGAAAAAGTCGAAATTTTTTTTCTTCGCATTTTTCAGTACCTTATAGTCTTAAAAACATGGCCTGAAAATGTTTTTTTTTTAAAGTCTGACGTCGTTGAAAAATTTCCAAAGGATATAACAATCACATACCTTCCAGTTTCTAACTTCACTCAGCCTGTTGGCAAGAACGCAACCAGCCGATCCTGCCCCCACGATAATAAAATCGTACTCTTTAGCGAATGGATTTGTCGCAGTCGGAAAATTCTTTGCTCCATGGTTATCCACCCATTTCCTTGGATAGTAAAAGTTATCGATATTTTTCCCACTGATATAATCGTTCGTTCGACTTCTTTGTTTCCAGACGTTGTACGAAAAAGTTCCAGGTAGCTGATAATTCTGTCCATCTGCTCTATTGTCAGTTATCCTTTGCTGTGCTTGTATGTTGTAATCGTGTGCTCTGAATTTGTTTCCAAAATTTGGTGACACGTATGGAACTGTGTCTGCATTACGATCTATTTTTCCATTAATTATAAAATTTAAATACATATTTCAATGGAATCAAAATTATTCTTTGTTTTAAGATAAGCATTTCCATTTCTACCTATAGAAACGGCAATTTCATATGGGAAAACCCAACAGAACCCAAAACAGAGTAAACAAATTTCAGAGTAGAAAATAGTATCCTACATGAAAAATCTATAGTTCCAGAGTTCAAAAATTCTTCAAATGCTACTTTCACGCTTTCACCATTCCTAAACAATTTATCCATCAATAAGTAGTCTAAATATTCCAAAGAGTGGAAATCAGTAGGTACTACATTCGTGCAATCGTCTTTTTTTTGTAAACGGCGAACACTACAGTAAATCCTCGATGAGTGTTCGAAGGTTCCTCAGCACTGAAAAGAATAGGTCCCCAGGTGTAACGCTGACTTTTTAATGAAGTTTAACACAGTGATAGAGTTTAGAATTCTAAAGCCAATTATATTTGTTTCAGCCCCATACGGCCATTACTTTATAAAATATTGAGCGTTCAATGCTGAGGAGCATTCGGACACTCATCGAGGATTGACTGTATCGGGGCTACTCTCGGTAAAGGCACTAATCGCGAAAATAAATAGTAAGGCGAACAACGAACGGCCAGAAAAGTGGCGCGCAAAATGTATTCAGAAAATTGAGCATTCATTTACCTTCCGGAATAAGAAAGTCATCGTAAACTTTCGACACGGTGATAATTCCTTGGCCAGCGATCCCAATTCGCGGACTATAAAACCGGGCAGAATCCGTTTGCACGTTAACGGGCGTACTTTCCTCGCTTTCATCCTTGAAATTGGCCGAAAAATACGGACTCGGTTTGTACCACGAACTGGACGATGATTTCACTGACGGCGGATCGTTTGAAAACGGAATGTTTCCCGTTTTGTAACGTACGATTCTGTGGTCGTTGTATTCTCGGAAACACGGAAGCTTCTTGGCCGAACACGTAATTCCCCAGGACGAGTTCGGTGATTCGATATCGTGGAATAAGATTTCATGGGAATCTTTCGAATGGCCGAAAAGACGGGCGACGAATGCCAGGAATATGAACGTGGACGGTTGACATGTCGACACTGTGGGATGTACTGAACAAAGGCTCGCCAGATCTGGTGGTATCCACGACATGGTTCCTGGTTCAGGCTGGTGTTAATAAAAGGTTTGCTATTCTCTGGCTTTTGACCGTCGAACATCCAGATTCTGAAAAGAATTCGATGTGAGGAACTGCAACCCTTAAGTAGTCGCATTAAAAAAATCACACAAATGGTCACACGTTAAGTAATTAAGTGTTTTATTATTACTAAAATTCGCAAGAACACAACTTGACAGAAAATTTACACATAAAATGAATTGAAAGAAAACATGAATCGCCTAAACACCGCCCCCTTTTTAAAGTTTTTTTGTTTGTTTAGCGCCCCGGTTTTATAGTTTATTAATCAATGTAGAAGATTAGCGTAAACTTTAGCACCTGTCATAGACATTCGATTGCAGAAAACAACAAATTTTCTTAAAGTGAAATAGTTAACGCTGGGACTAAACCGAACTCAATGAAAAAGTAAGAAAAATTGAAAAAGTTATTACGTTTGAAAGAAAAATTAGCTGTTTTCCGTAAATAAATTTAACTTTACATCGATGAAAAAAATGTTATAAATAAAATGTAAACTCAATATTTGAGGTTCAGTACCTGGAGAAATGTATAACGAATAAAATGAGCTATGTCTGAAATCGATCACTCAATTTAGTTGTTGAGTTATCGTTTACGCCAATTTCGAAATTTTTTTAAGAACATTTTTTAACATAAATTAAAGGTATAATATGTATGTCAAAAATATGTTCCCAAAATTTTAGACTCGAATTCCAAAAAACAAAGTAGTTACAGCCTGTTCAGTGTCTCCCGCCACAGTTCGAAACGGCAAGAGACATTCTTCAATTTTCTTCAACCCAATACATTGATCTTTTCCACGTGAGTTTATACTATTTTCAAATTGGAAAGCTGCACTGTTATGAATAATAAATAATGATTCATTTTCCATGTGAACAATGTGAAATTTTATTTATACATAATTAACATTTAGGTAACGGTAGGCCAACATTGTCAGTGTAATATTAGTCGTATCTTGATACTCTCGCGACAACACTTGTTTCTGGAATGCAGACTCGTTACGCACGAGACGGTCATTGCGAAAAAAAAAAAAACGAAATGTGTAATCTGCCTTGCGTATAATTGTACAAAGAACGATTACGATATCCCGTCTAAAGATGTTGAGATTAGTCTACTTTCACTTCGGACTGTATTACTTGGGCTTTAATGTTAAATGCGCTGCGTACTGTAGAAATTTGATGATTTCGCAATGTTTAGGGAAACTTTTGATGATTCATTTACATTCGATATTATATTTGGTAGTTTATATTTGGATCACCTTCTCCATACATGTATCATTTATTACTAGACTGCCGATTTTATGCATTTATAGTCCATAGGGATCTGTGAAATACAATAAAAGACAAAACTTTCATCGGATCCAACGAGTTTTCTATTTTAGTCTGAACCCAATAAGATACTTAAAAGGAAAAATAAATTACTTTAAAAAATGTTATTTTGCATAAAAATCCGAAGTTTATTTATTACATATTCTTAGTCATTATTGATCTCGGTAATGGTGACTCTATTTGAATATTTTTGTTATTAAAATTACTTAGTTCCTCTCTATCTACTTTTCAATATCTACAACGGAAGTTATTTATTACTCCACCATAAAAACAAAACCACAATACCAAGTTGAACGCATTGGCCATTGCTTTTTCTATACACCTGTTGCACAAACTTCGAGAAGAAATGATCACGCTTTTAACTACGTTTAAACATAATCTTACCGGGTGTAGTACCAGCAATTTATATCTTCCTTTCGTTCCAGGCGATGCCATTAACCATTCAGCTCGCCACACACGTGTCGTTCAATTACACCATCGCGAAACTAAACATTATCGAGCGTAACACGTTACGAACAATTACTTTATTGTATTAATTATATATTTATTAGTTGTTTGTATGAAATCAAAATTAATTTTAACTGTTTCTCAAGGTATATCAGTGCGTCGATTCTGGATCCTGTCGGTTGCGGAAAGGATCGTAGATCCGCGTCAAGGGTTCCATGGACCATTGACAATTGACGTGAAACGAAACCGATAGTCAGCTGGCCGGTTAAAACCAGAGCAAAGTGTAACGAACGCCGTTGCCCGGCTCGCGAAAGAAGTTTTATTGCAGCTTTTTTTTTGCAAGATCTCAAAGTGAACGTACTTTATATTGGTTCGAAATGCAACAATAGTTTCTTTGTGGTTTAATTAAATCGTCACGTCGGCTGTAATACTTTAGAAAAGTAAAAAATTCTGGCTCACAGACTCGAACTACAGCGGTTTACAGTAAAACTTCGATTATTGCTCGAAAATAGAGAATGGAACTCGAGTAGTTACTGTTGCGTCACATGTAATATTAGACTTTGCAAGGAATAAATTTTTCACAAAATTTATTCACACATACATAGTTTCGATTTTTCAAAATAGTCTTCGTAAACATCCACAGTCCAGTGAAAACATTAAACTGAAATAACGGAGGATTGAATTCAATGTTATTTCATATTTGATTACATACACGATCCAGAATCTGCTGTTTCATCTCTTCGCGCAAGTAAACGCTACATGAAATGCCAAAAAAAGGTAGTAATTCAATATCGTTTACTTGAGTATCGAAGTTACAGGAAAACTTTATATTTCCGGTGTGTTCTCGCAGTGTAGATACTGTAGCCCTGTAGTATGAAACTCTTCTGAATATAATAACTAAGTATTAGCTCAAAATAAACATAATATTTTGTCCTGTAAACTCCTTTCCCGATCTACGAAAAAAATTTAAGTTTCATGATAAACGAAAAACTTAAGCTCTAAGCTTTTTTAATCGGGTCACTGCATAATTTATGTTTGTACGTTCTTGCGACTACAAATACACAAAAATATTTAAATACTGGTATAATTTGATTTTTATGCTCTTTATTTTAAAAACCTCCGTTGGTGGAGGGTTAATAAGCAGGTATTGTCGATACTTCGTTACAAAAGAGAAAAGTCTTTATTTGATCGTCGTAGTAGTATATAATCGAGATTCACATATTAGACCACGTATGCCTGATCATGTCAGCCGCTTTTTCGGCCGTCATCATGATAGCAGCGATCGGGTTACTATTTGGCACAATTGGGAATACGGAAGCGTCAGCGACCCGAATGTTCATCGTCCCACGGACTCGAAGTTCCGGATCCACGACCGCTGTTCGATCATTGTAAGCGCCCATTTTGCAAGTGCCTGCCTGGTGGTTCTCTGGTCCCGTTGCGGCTCTTATGTAGCATTCCCAGTACGCGTCACTATCAAAATGGTAACTGAAGCAAAAAGAAAAATGTTCGTGTTGGAACTGATATGCCATTATAAATCGATTACGGTGTTACAGTGGCTAGGAAAAGTTTTCAGTCTGACTGTAACTTCAATACATACATCTCTTTAATAAAAATATAGAATACAAATAAATTTTGGGATTCTATGGGTATATACAGTGGACTCTAACTATATTGCCACTGAACATATTGCCACGCGAGGCACTTCCCTTTCACACGTACTTTTCAACACACAAATTCTAGCCTTTGCGGAAGCGCTGACGATAGAACTTACAAGGAAAGTCACGGAAGTGTCGCCCTCCGATTTTGATGAAACTTCGTATGTCTGTTAAGCAGTTAAAAATAAGGGACACGTATTTTTTTTTTTATCGGCTGAGACGCGACTTTAAGGGGTGAAACCACCCCTCGAAGTTTCGACGCGAAAGTACTATCTTGAAAACCAGCGGAGATACATGAAAACTTGTAATGAACGAGGTTTGCGGTTTTTTATGTAGAATAATAAGCTAGATGGGACCTTAGTTTAGTTTAATACGTGATCTCCCGGGAGAGTGTAATTTCGCTATTCCCTTCCAAAGCCCAGCTGTGACTCAGCGTCTTTAGCTATCTCGTAGTCCCGCAATTGGGACTACCGTAGGTCTTACCAGAGGAGCTATTACCCCCGACTTTCCAACCGTCCCAACTTTTTAAGGCCCAGGCCACATGGAGGTGGGGAAGTACTCGTGCAGGGATCGGAGAGTCATTAGGATCGTCTCATCCCTACGTAATTGATAAGCTATGAAGTTGGACGTTGAGCAACCGATCCTTCATCTCCTGACGTGAGTATCAGGTCACTCTTTGCTTCACTTACAGACCGTGTCTGTACAAATAAAGGGAGTTTCAAAGGGTTTTGTAAAGGGCCTATTTCAACCCCCTATCAGTACCTGCCTATGTCCCGAATATTTCAATAACACCCCCATCCCTATTTGCCCACAACAAACTACCAACCCCCGTCCCCAAAGATAAGGAAGGAGCACCGATGCAACAATAATGTACATGGGGAGGCCTTGCTAGCCGACCTCAAAGAGAGACGTGGCCGTAGATGGGACCTTACTTGGTGCAAAGCGGATGAATCACAGTTTCCAATCGTAGGTCCCAGTTCTTCATGGCTTGCGTGTTCACAAGGTCCATGGACTTTTTAATGCCCTCGATGAGGACCTTTAGATCCTTCGTGTCGGTGAAGTAGTTCGGATAAATCAAAGGTGGCGCGAGTGGATCACCGGAACGTAGCTTCATGTATCCATAACTCGCTACCGTGACCACCGTTGGTCTCATCACGATCTGCCTTCTATTGGGGCAGAGGGCAAGCGCCCCGTCCACGCACTCGAACTGTAGGCCGGTTCTCGGACACTTCGGCAAGAACCCATCAAAGAAAACTTGAATGTCTGGCACACCACTAGCCGCGTAACTACTTTCGAGAAACGCTGTCACTTGGGTCAGTCCGGTGCTGCTCAGAGGGCCGGATCGTGTCTCCAAATACTCGTTCACGCTGTCCATCGTGAGAGTCTCGTAAGCAGTGTCCCTGATACTGTAGTGTACAGCAACGGACACGTGGTTGTGAAGATTCTTCCCCACAGGAAGGTCCTTGATCACGTGCATACCTAATTTAGTTAGATGTTCCTTGGGCCCTATTCCGGAGTTCATGAGGATCTGGGGTGATCCAATTGTTCCGGCGGTCAGGATCACCTCTTTGTTAGCTTTCACGATTCTTTTAAAACCAGCGGTGTCGATCAACTCCACACCATATGCTTTGCTCTGCCACTGGTTCAGTAGAATCTTCGTCACATGCGCGTTGATCAAAACACTTAGGTTCCGTCTGCCTCGGACTGGTCTCAGATAGTGCCTTGATGTTGTCCCACGCTTTCCATTGTCGGTCGTCATTGGGGCAATCATGAATCCGGTCTGCATGTATTCCTTCAGCTTGGACGTACGATAGCCCAGTTCGGCCGCAGCGTTCAGGATCTCATCGGCGAATATTGGCTTATGGGAATAATATTGGATTTTCATCGGACCCGGTACCGGGACAGATCTCGGTTTCTCGGACACCATCGACTGGTCCGTTGGTTCCTCAGCCCGCTCGAAGTAGTGGGAGATCTCGTCGTAGGACCAACCTACGGCACCGTTTCTGGCCCAGCTGTTGTACACTTCCGGATGTCCTCGGGCGTACATCATTCCGTGCATACCACCCGTTCCCGAGATCATTTTTCCTCGTGGCCACGTGCAGGCTCCATTGGTTTCTAATAAAAATAAATTACATTGTAAACGATACGGTTGTGGGAAGGTGAAATATAGGAGAGACAAGCCCTGAACCGAGTACCTAAGTTTGAAACAGTTATTTTTGGAATTGTTTCAAGCCCTGCACGTATGTGAACAAATATATAAATGAATAAACGATGTACCTAAACATGCGGTCGGATGTGGCTCCGTAGGCTCCGTCTTGAACTTCCAATCTACAGTAGAATTGATCGTGTGAAATGCGAGTCCTGGAATGGCAGTCATCGATGGTTCTTCTGGTCCTGCCTCGATTAACAGAACTCTCCACCGAGGATTGTCGCTTAACCTCCTGGCGATTATAGGGCCGGCTACGCCGGCACCAACAATGATAAAGTCGAACCTGTAATTTCATGGCGCGCAGACTTCAAATGACTTCTCTAGGTTTCAAGTTTAACACATTCGGGACGGGCTGTAATTGTATTTCCGACACCATGGCTTGGAGAAATCAATTTCTCTTTCTTTTTTATGAACTTCAGTATGAATATGTCATTACAATTATTCCAAAAGACATTTATTTTATTGAATACGATACACGTTTTAAATGTAAGATGTGTACAATTTTACAAAATATTAGAAGTTATAACAAAACAGATAGAGTTCCATCATAATAATATAAAAATGAAATGTATGCAAAAACGTTAATTCAAAATCTGGTCACCTAATATGAGGCCCAGGTTTCATCTTGTGAAAACTTAGGGCTGAGGAGCTTTCGAACACTCATCGAGGATTTACTGTACTACCAAACTGTTCCTTTTTTCCACAATGCCCCAAAGGCGGGAATTTGATTGATAAGGGCCTGGGCCCTATATGTAGTGCCCAAGCGGCCGCAAGATTCGTCCATGTTGGGAACTACAGTTCCCACCCGCTCCAAACATGTTAAACAAATTGCAAACTACAACTAGAGCCTCTGATTGGATTAGAATGTGAAAGAAAAATTGAATAAATAATTTTCTAAATTGTACCATTCTCCGTGAGGTACTTCCTCCTTCCCAAGCCTGCCACACGGATCCGAAATGTCACACCTGGACGACACGATTTTCTGAATCAGATTCATAAACGAGGTCGTCGCGCCGCATTTGGACTCCATGTACAACGTATCTTTGAAATGGCAGACGCAACATCCTGACGGTTCGTTATTGGTATCCAACTGGCCAGTCTGAACCTAGTCAACAATCTAGTTAATTAAAAACAACTTCCGACCGCTGTACGGGACGGTTGAGTCGTGAGACCACACTTTGCCGCGAACAGTGCAACAATTACTTAATTAATGCATGTAATTAATTGAATTAATTAAATCTAAATAAATCCTTAACTAATCTGAAATTTAGACTGGCGACCATGGTCACATTTAGTAGAGTAAGGGATATATCAATTTCAATATATTTTACGACAGTTTGTTGTTTTACACGCAGTGCACTGTAGTGTATTTATATAATTTTTTTTTTTAGTTTTTTTTTTTTTTTTCTATTTTTTGTTTAGATGTACTGAAGTCACCTCCAAAATATCTCTCACTTATTCTGGGTCACCCTGTATATTAGTACCTAAACACACGTGATCTGTTTATTAACCGCATTGTTATTAGTAAAAACATGTATCCAACAGCTTGAATTCACCTGGAATGGGTGTTGAAAGGTAAAGGCCAATTGCACCAGAAGGGACGATAGGATATACAGTCGCATTTTATCCACTTAGAGGCCAGTGTCACCTGCAAGCAGAATGAAATTGTTCCAAGTTAAAGCAACAGGGCAAATACGTGACCCCGTTCGGTGTTGCTTCCACCCAATAATTTTAACTAATTATATAATTTCCTGTAATTTATTAAATGCGTGAAAATGACCTCAGATAGCATATTTCCCGTACACGTGATTCAATTTATTTATATAACGCGTGAACAAATGCGATCAGTATGGTTTATTAAAAAAATAAGTTTACAACATCGAAACTCATTTGTTATAGAAATAATTTTCTTACGAATGTTTGACCCCTTCGATGATCGAAATTTGCAAACGAATTTTAATCCATTTTAATCTAAACTAGCATCAAAACAGATAGAAGCAACCTGATCTTGTCTCGGCCACGCAAAAATGGTGCCTTTATATTAAGTAGTGTTATGTATAAGTAGTATTTAAAGCAATTGTTATTAGATTTATAGAAATACCATAGTAGTTCTAGTGTTAAGTGTTCATTAAAGTGAAGGCCGAAAGCGAGTAACGAACGAAGAAAATTAAATTGGTGTGCTCGCAAGTCTCGCTACAAATCCACAAATTAGTTCGCGACAAATTGAACGCGAATCATTAGTAGGAGGAGCGTACTTCGCATTTTGCACCGTTACAGATTACATCCATACCATGTTAGTCTTCAACAACAACTGCAGGGGAACGACTTCATGTCTGTTCGTCAGCTTAATAAACGAATACTATCCGAAATTAAAGCAACTAATATTCAACCCACCTTTTTTTATTACGAATTATAAACTTATTCATAAAGTCGCCGAAACGCGAAATTACGGGTAGACTACAGTAACACTCGTGGCGGCGTGAAATCCTTTCAGCGTGAAAGTTCATACGCTGTCACGAAAAGCGAACAAATCGAATTACGGTTTCACTGGTGTAGCTCGAATGAAAATAGAATCGAAGTCGTCTCACGGCGAAATAAAATACACGCGGGCAGGAACTTGGAAAGTAAGAGCAACTTTTAAAGCCGTTTAGGCGTCTGGGTCGCGCTGCAAACTCGACGATCATCGAAAATAATGAGAAACAACCGGGGTCTCCCTTCCATGTGAAAGTCTGGATTGTTAGATTAATCGGCGATCTATACCCGCGCGTAATATCGTCTGAAGAACCGACGATTTCTTCCGGGAAGATAAAAGGCTCGTGCTGATAATGATAAACTCCGTTTTTCCACCATTCTATCGAGAGTAAGCGTGAAAGTGTTGACCAAAGAAAGAGTTTATACGAAGTGAATGAAGAAAAGGTGTTTAAGACTTTAAGCAATTTAGGCCCTAAACTTTAGGACGATTAGACAATTTTTACAATTTCGGGGGCCAAAATTCGGACCGACACACAGTGGACCAGATCGAAGAATTAGCTGTTAAGGACAATAATATATAGGTTGTTGAATTCGTATTGAGGTCAGCTATAATATTATTAAGTAAAAAATATATAAAGTGACCATAAAAAAATCAAGGTGACCTTACTTTTTATTTAAAAAAAATTTTTTTTTAATTTTTTATATAAGAATTTGTAGAATAGGAAGTACTGACTAATCTTTGTTCGAAACATTTTGTTGTCAGAGCAAAGAAATGCCTGAAAAATCATGATGACATGTTAATAATGAATTATAATTGAAAACTAGCTGTTCAGGCTTTTCAAACAAATAGAGCAGTCTATAATGCTTAAATCAATGAACTTTATTACATTTAATCAGACAAGATGAATATGTGATTATTTTCTTTTTGAAAAAATTAAAAATATTCTAACAAGAATAAGTGTTATATTTTAGCACATTAGTGAATATAATAAATTAACCATACGCATTTTCGGCTTATAGAGAAAGAAAACATTGTCATATTTATTACTCTTTATTTATAAACTTTTATTTACTATTTGTCTATTAATAAACAAAAATCTATGCAATTATTCTTATTAACAAAGATAATAAACTTTTTACTAGAGCTTTACAATGTATTAATGGATTTATCATAAAATTTATTATCTTTAATGGATCATCATCGTCTTGGAGGTCTTCTTTTAACGTTAATCTGTGTAAGTAGTGGTCTGCAACGGGTCTCGTTCAACGCGACGCTTTAAACAATAATAATTTATGGGGTGGGACGAGGGAGAAAGTGAATCTTACATGATTTTATAGAGAAATAACGCCTGAAAATATTCCACTTTAATAGAACGCATAACTCTTTAAAACTTTAAAGATACCCCTTGTCAAAGGTGAAAAATTTCGACGATTCTCTTTACTTCACTGAGTATTATTTTTTTAAACAAATTATGAACAATAACTTTTTAATCCAGGTGCGTTCTCAATATAGACATATACTATACATAAAAAAAAAAACAAATTAATATATTTCATTACTATCATTTCGAATGTGATACACATTTAGAAAGCAATATATATTCGTGGAACATCGATATGAGGAATTTGATTTTTTGGCAAATGAGTAGCTAACTGCCCTGATGTGCAGGGGAGGTCAGCCCTAATAGCTCTGAGATCTGGAGGGGAAGTCAGCCTTAATAGCCCTGATCTAAGGGGAGATCAGCCTTAATAGCCCGGTGCGTCGCGGAACGTTGTTAAACGGAAAGCGTACGATGGCTCGATGGCTCGCGAAACGGCAGAAGTATGAGCACTCTTCGACCCGGTGGTTCTTTTTGTTCTACCACTTCCATCTTTGTAAATTTAGTATTATGTGAATAAAAGCATCATATTTTGTACTGGTTGAATTCGTATAATGTCCTCTACAATGCAGTGGGAACAAATTATACGGTTCATTTTAAAATATCATGGTGACCTTCGTTTCGCTATGAAAAAAATGTATTTTCAAAATGTTTGTGATCGTTATCCACTTAAAATAGATAAATCTTGGTTAACAACTTTGTCTTACTATATTATTGCAAACGGTTGATAAATCGCAAATACCGTTAGAGTGAACACCCTGTGTAATAAATTATAATAGAATAAAAATATATAGTAACAGGTTTCATACTGCATATCCATGTGCTTCGACAGGAAAGTAATGATCAGACTGCGGATTTTAATGCAAAATCACATTTTAGAAGGTTGCTTATAAAGGCAAAAATAAAAGTAGACATTTCTTTCTTCCCCTAAATATCTTATTGGGTTCAAAAGAAAATAGAAAACTCGTTGCATCTGACGAAATTTTTGTCCTTTATTGTATTTCACGGATACCTATAGGCTATAAATGCATAAAATCCGCAGTCTAGTATTGATTATAGTTAGTCTAGTCGATTAACAATCAAAAATAAATATATTTAATAGTAAATCATGCGAAAGTAATATGTTTAAACGTACCTTCACTAACAAAATTGAACTGGTTGACTCGCCTTTTGGAACTTTTGAGCACCTTCCGAAATAAAAATGTTTTCCTTTCCACGAAGAATTTTCGACTGAAGCTCGAAAGTCGATATAACTATCTCTTAATTACAGGCCAGTAATTTACATATGATTGTCGGTAGCTTTGTTATTTGCGTATCGTAATCTTTAAGTGCTCCGTATTACGGTGAGTCCCCATTCTCCAGTAAAAGAACACGGAGCAGTGAATGAACATTATACAATATATAAAAACCAGTAAATTAAGGTATTGAAATAAGCACTAAGTTTTTCCAATACCTTGTTTCATATTCAAACAATTTTCGCGCCATTGGTTAGAAATGTTCATTTAGTGGTAAATTTATATTTTTTCTTTTTGATTTCATTAATTACAAGATTCCAATTTTTCAAATTGAAATCTATAAGTTATAAAAAGGTATAGATATTAAAAAATCTAATTTTCATGTGCCAAATATTTATTCATATTATTATTGTTTAAGATTCGACTTTAATAGTTACAAAATCTCTTAAGTGTCCATTCATTGCTACGTTTATCCTACATGCTGTTCTATATTATTTGAGGTCACCCTATATAAACTGTCGAGTCGAAGGGCAAGGGCAATCAGCCTCAAGACACGATAAGTGTAACGTTTCACCGAGTAGAAAGCTTAGCTAACATATCGTAAACCTTCGCATGTGTCTATCCTTTCCAATCAGTCTAACAAAGAAACACGGCAAACGCTGACTCGCGGATTCAACTGAAACTTTGTGGGTTTATAGAGTGATTCAAGTCAAGGATAACGGTATGTTTCATTCGTGCCCAATCGCCCCTTAAGGGTGTGAAAACTAACCACAAAGTCAAATAAACACTTCCACTTTTTCGCGTATAACTACTAAAGTACAAGAGATAGAGAAAAATGTTTCACACAAAAGTTTGTTGGCACAATAAGCGCTATAAACTTATGTTAACAAAATTTCGAAAAAAATATTTTTGAATTTTTAAAAAAAAAGAAGAAAGCGGTTTTCAAAATTTTGTTAACGCAAGTTTATAGCTCTTATCGTACCATTAACCTTTTATTCGAAACATTTTCCTGTATCTCTTGTATTGTAGGAGTTATACGCGAAAAAGTGGGAGTGCCAATTTGACTTTGAGGCTAGTTTTCACACCCTTAAAGGGCGATTGGGCATAAATGAAACATACCGTTATGCTTGTCTTGAATCACTCTATAAACCCACACAGTTTCATTTCAATTCGCAGGTCAGCGGTCGCGGTGTTCCCTCGTAAGCTGCATTAACTTCGGGGAATTAATAATAAGTGGAGTTGCACATCACTTCGTAACAACGTTCTGGTAAGCGGCCCCGCGTCCAGAGCAGCGGTCATACAGTAGACACGCTAATTAGAGAGCTCGTAGCGTATGGTGGAGGGACCGTTCGCCTCTCTTCCGGAGAAAGAACCCGCGATCCGACGTCATCCAGTCAGTGAACCACTCGAACGAGTGTACACGTCATGTAGCAAAACGAAGGCGAGGATCCGTCGAATAATGAACCAAGAGGCCGCGTGGGGTTGGATCTGTTTGGGAGGGGTCCCGATTAAATCACCGACACAGGCTTCATCGACACTGTTGTCACCGACAACAATTCACCGACACCAGACTTAAAAGACAATAGCTTTGACCGACAACAGCTTTACCCGATATTATTTGGGGTCTTATATACACGTTTTCAGGTTAGGGAAGGGATGGAAATGGCCCTTGATTGGTGGCCAAATCGGTTTTTGGCTTTTTGGACTTTGCGATGGCTAAGGATGATGCAGCTAGGTTACTTTATCTATGAGTGACTAAGAAGGTTGGTTATCCAACAATAGTGTTATTATACATCGACCACATTTCCGGTGGAAACAACGGAAGACGGATAACTATTACATCATTGTGAGTGCATTCTTGTATAGTGTCATTTACATAATATTTATCGAACCACTCAGTAATGTTCATTAAAGGCATTTGGAATTTCTGATGGCTTTAAAAATGCTATCCTTGGAATATGCCTAATTAGAATTAGAGAACTAAATGTTTCGTCTCTTCCATATTGTCGTACTAAGCCATTCTTTTGTATTTTGCGATATACAGTTTGACACCGATGAAAAAAAAACAGCCTTTCAATTTTGTGTTAGGAAACACTGCTTTGATTGCGTTCATTGCAGCAATCGCAAAATCAATTATAATAAACTTAGGATTTAGAGAAATATCCAATTTTTCTGATGTAATTAGGCATATTCCAAGCCTAGCATTTTTAGAGCCATCAGAAATTCTAAATGCCTTTAATGAAGTAAAATGTCTTCTTCTATAACATTACTGAGTGGTTTGATAAATATTATGTAAATGGCACTATACAAGAATACACACATAATGATGATATAGTTATCCGTCTTCCTTTATTTCCACCGGAAATGTGGTCGATGTACCTATGATAACAATATATTCCAACTTCCGCGAACACAAAATAGCGTCGAATTGTGGCATCGACGATGGCAATGCTTGCTAGATAAAAATTCAGGCATATTTACTCTTTTAAACAGTATACAAAAAGAACAAGCAGTAGTTGAAACACCCCCACAAAGTCCGGACATAAACCCCATAGAACACTTATGGGCGGAAATTGGCAGACAACTCGGTAAATGTAATATTAATTCCAAAGAAACGTTAATAACAAATATTTTGGACGTTTGGAACAATATGAAAAAAGATATTACTGAAAATTTGGTTGACAGCATGAAACGACGTTTACAAGCCATAATGGTGGTCCGACAAAATATTAAAACATTATATTTGTTTAAAATACATACTAATAATTTAGGCGTTCGAATACTTTTGTGGTGTTCATTTAGTTAATGTTACCAAGAAATGTGTTTTAAGTACTGTTTACGTTATCAGAGACACTTCAAATTTAATATGTGTAATTCCAATATTTATATGTTACTATAACAATAAAAGTATTTTGTAATTCGTAATATGACTCATATTTTTTAAGCGTCAAACTTTTCATTTCGGAGCGTTCGAATACTTTCGTGACTCACTGAAGTAAATTACATTTTGAAAATTCGTTCCACTAGTCCTAAGGATGGGAAGATGTCACTGGGCCTTGTATCCAGGAATCATTTTTTATAACAATGACTTGAAACGATTGAGAAAAGGAGTAGTCTGTCCAGAAATAAGTGACTAAACTTTGAGAGCTCATTTTACCCTCTTTAAGAATAAAGAAGAATCTTCTAACTATATAAATATTCAGAAATGTTTTGTTTCTGGTATTTAGATTAGTTTAGCACTTACAGTAATGTCTTGATAAGTGTGAATGCCTTGGTTCCGCGTAGTCACATTCACGCTGGACGAGAACAGTTGTCAACACCTCGTCAATCAGTTTTTTGCTCGAAGCTCGAGCTTCGGCCGCTTGCCTTTGTAGTGTTCCTAACGTAGAAAAGGACAAGCGATGTAAAGAATAGACAGAGGAAGCTTCTTTTTCCTCTCGACTCGACTGCGTGGCCCGCCTGCGACACTCTCTTCGGCCAATAGTTTCATTCTAATCGCTGCGGTTCGTGTTATCTTATTCTGTTTGATGTGTCTCGTTCGTTCTCTTCGTCGCACAGTCCGATTGTGTGTGTACCGTTTCGGCCAATAATAAAAATACGTGTGACTGGAGGTAATCCAGATACCATTGTAACGTCGACAGCTCTCTAAGCATTCGCCGACACTTAATCGCTTTGACGAAGCGTCGTACATATACATATACATTTCCCCGCTGACTTTTTTCGACGGGTCGACGCGACGGGGGTAGATAAAAAAAAAAATTACATTCCCGGGTGTCGGTGATACAACGATAATGCAACGATGAAACTTTTTTACTTTTGATTCGTTGTTAATGAATGTTATGATTTTTCTGATTAAAATGATACCAAATACGACATAATTTGGATCATATTTACTCATGTAGAAAGTGTTAACGATTCATATTCGTTCATTGTCGTTTCTGATAAATCGTAAGTAAATATGGTCCAAATTATATCGTGTTTGGTGTAATTTTAATCAGAAAAATCTCACGAATATGTTCGTAAATGTTTCGTTAACAAAGAACCAAAAATAAAAAGTTTCATCGTTGCATTTGTTACCCTCGATTAGCTGTCGGCTCGTGAAAGGGAAGCCGCCCGGACACGTTGGGCAAAAAATTGTACGCTTGACTGGTTCCGCGGCCCCCTTCCCCAGGGGTGGGTATGACGACTTCACACTTATCGTGGGCAAGCCGGCTCACACTTATCAAGAGATTACTGTACTGGCTGTGTTTTGCAAGAATGTCTTTTTTCAAGACAAGTGGATAAAAATGATTTCTTTCTTATTGTTTAGTATTCGCAAGTAGAAAGCGATAAAGATATCTGCATCTCTGACGCCGCGAGGTATACTATACATACTAACAAATTTCTGCTGTATATAAACGATGCTAAAAAACTCGAAGATAAGCATAAGACGGTTCATGTCTTTGAAAAAGATTATGCAGCTTTGAATGACCTCAAAATTCGCAAATGGGATTTTAAGCACATTTTATTCTATTTCCAGACAGTTTCTTACTTTTCTGCGTATGCTTGCTTTTATCTGCGTCTATTTGCGCCTTTGAACCTATGAAGATACAGAATTCAAACTACTAAATCATTTAACAGATTTATTTAGACGAACTATTTGATTTTATGTAAACGAATTTATTACAGCTACTGGTAATTAATGAACAAGAAATACAAATACGTATACCTAATAAGAAATTAAAAAATGGTGTAAACAATTTGTGATAGAAACTCCACTATTATTAAACCCAGCCATACCGATCAATTAATATACTATTTATTCATAATATGTGTACACTATTCTCTTCCTATAGTTACACTCTGTTGGCTTCCTTATACGTAATACCATCCCCACCAGATTACGACGCTTTGATCTCCTCTCACTTATTCGTGGCTAGACTGCAGATATTTATGCAAATATAACTATTCATGCACTAATTTACGAAAACTAGAAACAGAATTTTGATCACTTCATTGAGTATACTATCAGGTTCCAATTTAAATAGAAACTTAATAATATTGTATTAATCTTCTTACTACTCTAAACTTTAGACAAGCATGTCTGGGCACCAAAGCAGTTTATTAAGTCCACTTTAAAAAAGAAATTACCCTATTAAAAAATTTATTTTATTCTAAGTTTTGTTTTTAATATAGCAGAGTAAAAATGATATTAAGTCTATATTTTGTTTTTAGCCAAACAGTGCAAAGTTCATTACACAAGGGACTTAATGCAATTTTCACCATTTTTACATACCGAGACTTGTCTTCAGTCCATTCAATAATTCGAATGTAGCGATTGTTTCTTGTTGAATTCTTACCGAATGATCCCAAAATTACAAAATTTTTGTGCCTTTGATTTGCTCTCCTCTAAAGTTTGAAAAGTTTGCCTTAATACGCTCTGGAGTATTCCTCTTTCTCTTCGGTGGAAAGGCAGAAATAAATCAGTTAACAAAATGATCTCAAAATTTGTATTCGATGGTCTCTACAATAATTTTGTTTTCTGTTTCAGGTAAGACCGAGCCTAAGAAGAAACCCGAAATTTGTGTGTGAATGTATCTGCATTTTGAAGGTAAATTAATGTGCGAGCTCAACTAATTAATTTAAGTTATGTTCAAAAGTACTCGATAAACTCTTGAAATTAAAGGTCGATACAAACAAATGTTATTCTATATTTTGCATTTATTTTTGCACGTAGAACCACGTTTTTCTCAGTTGTATTATAAATAGCACCGCATCTTGTATATTTTTTCACAAAGCAAAATTAATTTTTTTTTATTTTTATAACATTTATCAAAGTCGAGCGATCTTAAAATTGTCTTCCACCGCTGTAAACTGATTTATAGTAATCGGACTCTGTAGGTTTGCAATAAAATTCAATCGATTTTACAAGTATAGATACTGTATTATTATTTTTGATACGTGACATAATTGTATTTCAGTTCTTCTTCAGTCTTTTGGCATTCTTTGATATTTAAAACATACGTGGAAGCCATGTAATCACAATTAATTATACATTAATGTACAAAGACTATGGACAGTGCTCGAGTTAGACTCCTTATCAGGAGGTATCCGAGACCTTAGTCAACCTTTTTAGCGAACGTAATCATTATCGAAATATACAGTTCGAACAATGAAAGGATCGCCACTGTGGGAGGTCCTATTTCACTGACAAAAAGAGAGAAACAAAACAAATCATATAAGTTTGATAAATTGCCATAACCTAGTTCAAATTGATATACCTTAGTTTTGTTCCAATGAGATAACTTCCCAGAAATTTTACGCCGTATTGACGGTCACAGTGGCCATATAATCCGTGCCATAACAATTAAGCCACCCTGAAATTTCTAATCGCAAAAAGATCCTCAGCCCAATCACCCATCAGCAAGAGGTTCGATCAACGGGCAACACTCACCGATCCACGATACGACGTATCGAATGTTACCACATAGTTTCCTCGATCATATTCAGTTCGCCATCCACGATTCGTTCACCCTCTGATTCAACACAAATCACATAGTCTCTTCCATGTTCCGATTTCACCGAATGTCTTTCGAGTTCCTCGGGCAGAATACACTTCGCGATGAAAAACGTCGATGAACGATAAACGCGTGGGAAGACGAAAGGATTTGAAAATTACTCTGAAACCGTTGAAGAAAAGACGACGATCGCGAGAGGATGTTTCGTGGGTGGAAACGCGTGGAGATACCGTTTTCGGTGTCCTCCGTTCGACACGCGGCCACGTTCGACTCTGCAGCTGGCCCGAGCACCACAAAAGTGACGACGATACTGTGAAACGGAGGGGCCCCGAAAAAGAGAAGCAACGCTTCGAGACAAAGCGGGCTAGCGGTCGATGGCTGGCCAGGGGAACGTGAATCAGTGAATTGTGTAGCGATGGTGTTCACGGTTTCACTCGCGCGAACCTCTCGACTGAAAGTGGGTTCTTAATTGACTGGCTACTGCGATAGAAAACGCGCGTTTCCTCACTCCTACGATCTTCGGGTTAATGTTTTCCGCGCTGCGTACAAGGGTTGCCTGTGCGAAGTATGGGTAGTGATGAGATCTATACCAATATTATTGATGATATTCGATCGATTCAATACCCAAAGTGATCATTGGGAAGTATCGATACGAATCAAAATTTTGGGTACTTGGTATCAAATATCGATACCGACTCTTCTTGAATCGATATCAATCCAATATGGGATCGAATCGAAATCCGTTTGATACCACACGAAAATGCCGATACCTCACGAAAGATTAGTACAGTATATTTCTTCTAATAGTCGCTTAGGTCAAACCTTGAACGAACTTATGAACAACAATACAGCAGGACAGCATCGAAGAAAATATTATAGAAGACCTTATTAGAAGATTAAAGGACAGAAGTTTTTAAATCATTGAAAATAACATTTCTATTATATTTTATACCAGGAAAAAGTATAATGTACATACTTTTATTTTCCTTAGGTTTCAAAGCTAATTTGATATAGTTTCACGTAAGCTAGTGATGTTAACATTGTTAAAATTCCTTGCCACTTTATGATGAGCGTACGCTGAGTGAAAGTTATGGTTTTACGATCATCCGGTACTGTTTATGGAAAGATTATGATCAAAACTTTGACCATTCGTACGGGATCTTATTTCGTTACGGAAGAACGATACATTTTTAACTGATAAGAGAACAGATTTAACACCGCTGAGAAAAATATTTCGTTGAAAATATTTACTCATATTACATTGTATCGATAAGTGTTTCAAATACATTTTCCATATTACGAGTCATAAATTTTACTTTCAAAGGTATATATTAAACTTACAGATTCCAAATTTGAACGCTTGAATAAAAAATTAAATGGAAATTAACGAGATAATAGATTCTAACTGTAAATGTTGTGATATCCTTGAAGTTTTTATGTTAAATTGCTATATTCGATTAAACCGAATAATTCCCATACAACGCATTTAATGATAAAAATTTACATCAAACTACTCGCAATTATACCGCCACCTTTTTATATCGACCACAATACATAAGTAACCGTTCAAAACAGCTTACAAAATAAACACTCATTCTAGTTTTTGTCTTTTCCTTTGAATTTCACTTACGTAAGAAGCGTTGAATCATGTATCCTCGAACCGATTTATTTCGTCAATCAATTGTCGAAGCTCGCTCTAATACGCTGGACTATCACTAAATTCCCTATACTTTTCCATTAAACCGATTAATTATATCTACTATATCTATACATATAAAAGTAAAGTTACTACCCGTGATAAGTACACTGCGAATTCCTGTACAAATTAATGGTTTTTTTAATTACTTCATAAAAGCGGTAGTCAAGTATTCTTTCCTTTATGAACGTCTTTGAGATGTTGAAATTCAAATAGAAAACTCTATACATCTAATAAAGTATATGTATATCTCATATTATTCCGTATACTTCTAATCTCTACAAATGCACAAAATCCAGTTCATCGATAAAAATTGGAAGCAACAGTGGACGTTGGATAAATTAATATAATATAAATTATAAAAAATCACAGGTAATGAGAAGGGTAGAGAGAAATTCACAAGAGAGTATCACAGATCGACTAAAAAATCATTATTAGAAGTTCAATCAGTATTTTTATAAAATGTACCACGTTTTCCAATCATAGCCAAAACACCAATCACTTCCAAATATTCGAAGTGTCATTTACTTCTCTGATACCTCTGACGCTATATCACGCAGCAATTAATTTATCCCCACCAGAAGATTAAACAAGTAAATACTAGATATCCTTAACACCAGGCTCAAAATTTTAATATCGACTCGCTCAGAAATCGGTACCGAATAGGCAAAAATTTATCACGAAATATCGTAACCTGTACTATTTCGACAGCTCTCCCCCCCACCTACAATTCATCTGAAGGCCCTCTAATACCCAATACGTTTCAAGTAGCATAAGGTAAACAAAGAATATCGAATGCAATTTTTTTTTTCATTTAACATTACAATCGACCATATCGATTGTGCAAGGAACGTCGGTAGCGTTACGAGACGAAACGATAAAAAAACAAAAAAACTTCACTTCAAGGGACCGCGAACAAAAACACGAGATCTAACGCCAAATGAAATCGGCATGCGTCCATTTACCCGTTTTCTTACCTGCCACTGTAACAATCCACTCTTATTATATAATTACAACACTGGTCCCACTCTCAGACACCACTTGGATACCACGAGCAACAACGTGTGCTAGTTTAACCGGGGAAGTGAAGCATATCGCAGTTCACATTTCAGATATATGTATGTGGCTGGGCAATGGTGAATTGCGTGGTGGAAGAAAGTCTCGTGGCATTAGGGGATCGTGATACGGTTATGCATATATGTATGTATGTTCAACAATGTCAGACACTCGTGGAGCAAGCAACCGTCGAATTGCGGATCGCGCGGCGCTAGAGTCCACCGGTTCTTTCTGGAGGATTTACTCCACTTTCCCCGGGAGCATCTTTACTTCTATGGATTATATGAAAACGAATGAATCGTAAATTATTTTAACAATTTTATAGTTTACAGTGTTAATTAAGAGGAACAGAACATCTACATATCTCTGTTGGGATTGATGATAGGAGAATATGTTCAAGACAATAATTGTGTTGTTCAAGGGGGTAAAGGTGGTGGTATAACAAATTTTTTGTTTCGTGTTATGTTCAAGGTTATTTGAAGGTCGTCGATGTTTTTTTAAGTGGTATCGCGTAGTTTTAATTAGTAGCTGATGTCAAGACGAGTTTAACGACCTAGTATACTGTGACCTTAAAATGACCTTGGGTTCAGAAATCTAGATTCGATCAATGTAAACATTAATATGGCACATTATTTTATTTAGACCGAATTCGGTCGAAATTATTACATAATTTCACTAAACCGTACTACAGACTCCGCTCCATTATCGTCCCGAACTCGAGTCCGCGCTGGGACAATAATCACATAGGGAGAAATGCTTCAGACCCTCGTAAGGATAATGCCAGGACAATAATCGAATAGAACAAGTCAAACGATAATCGAGAGGAATCTGTAATTATAATGTACTGTAAATCTAAATAAAGTCGGTTGTTTACATTTACAGTACATTACAGTTATTAAAGATCATTATATTTATTTCCACCCCCAATCTTCCTTAATCATGTCTGCAGCCTTTTCAGCTATCATAATAGTCGGCGCATTCGTGTTTCCAGAACAGACGTTCGGCATAATCGAAGTATCAACCACCCGTAGTCTAGAAATTCCGTGAACCCTTAGTCTAGGATCGACGACAGCCATTGGGTCTTTCGCAGGTCCCATTTTACATGTCCCACTTGGATGGTAAATCGTCATTGAATAATGTTGAGCGAAACATTTCCAGTAATCCTCCGATGGGAATGGGAATTCCGAGCATCCTGGAATAAGGTTCGGGTTCGGTCGTGTGTTCAGCAGCTTCATTGTCGGGGTCTGGCTCAGTTCGTAAATGAACTTCGCTGCATCAGCCTGCGTCAAATTAGAAAATCATTAGTGGTTTCTTATTTCTTAAATTATTAATACGTATATCTATTGGGTGTAGGACAAATCTAAATAAAACAGAAACATAAATATCTTGAAAAAGTCGACCTATGTCGGTACTAAACATAATCGATAAAGCTTTCTTACCAGAACATTAAGATCCTGAGGATGCTTAAAGTAATCAGGAACGATAATTGGGGGTTGATGCACGTCCTTGGAACGGAGTTTAATGTATCCTCTGCTTCGAGGTCTTAGTAGAAGTGGCATGATCTGATATCCATCTTGAAACAGTATATTTTGGTACATTTTTTCAAAAAACTCATCGTTTACGTTGCAATCACTCTTAACAAAAATTCCACCGTCTGTGTTATCGGTTATAGTTGACAGGAACAACTGTATATCCGGATAATCTTCCGATTTGTTTGCATACCTGAATTAGGGATTTATTCGTCCAATTAGTAAAAAGTTCTGACGTGAGACTTGATTAATAACTGCCGACGAACAACACCTGTCCAGTTACGTGTAGGAAGGTTACAATTATTCGTTATAGAAGTAACTCGTGAAAAGTATGCATATTAGGTATAATATTAATACAGTAAAGACGCTTTACTGGCTCGAAGCGACTTCCACGCTAACTGTCCCTGAGTCAAACCCACCACTAGGCGGGGCTCATCCCGGAACTGGTCAAACGTATAAAGTGGGTAAAAAAAGTATTCGTACACTCTTTAAAACAGAACAACGCTTATAAAGACCACTCTTGCCAGAGATGGATAATTCCACATCGATTAACTTTGTAAAACTTTTAATAACCAATTGAATGTTATTTTTCGTTATCGTTTCGAAAATAAGGCGCTAAGTTACTGTCAGTTGAAAGTACACAAGTATTTAGAGCTTCCGAAATTCTCCACTGGATGATAGTGAACAAAAACTCAAATTTGTCTCTGCAACGAGTGGTCTGTAGTTAAGGGTTAAAGTACTTACTTGGTATTAATGAAGGCCATCCCTTCACTAAACGGATACGCATACAGAGGTCCATTATGATTCATAGTAAATTCCTTAAAAGCATTCACCGTAAGGGTTTTCGGCAGATTAAATGAAAAATGCTCTTCGCCCGTGTAATTCGCTGGTGGATCTATAAGGTAAACCATACCGCCTATCGATATGTGATCCTGAAGATTTTGACCCACACCAGGCGAATCATGCACCAATGGGATTCCCACTTCATTCAGGTGATCTTTTGGACCAATACCGGACACCATCAGCAATTGTGGTGACTGTACCGCGCCAGCGGATAAAATGATCTCGCGCCTCGCTTTTACCTTGTAGAGTTTCGATTCAACACGAAATTGGACGCTATGCGCGGTCTTCGATTCTCCATCTGCGAATCAAGAGAATTAATGAAAGTAAAAGAGTGACTAGCAATTGTCGAAAAAAGCCTCAATTTGAACAAGTACGAAGCAAACCCTGATCAAATTCAATTTCACTTATAAAATGATGGTAGCACGAAGAATATGACGTGCACTTGCCTTTGTACACCACAATCTTTTCTGCAGTCGACTGCAAGCTGACATGTAAATTCTTTCTCTTCGAAACTGATCGAAGAAAAGCTTTTGCAGTGCTACAACGCAGTCCGTCTCTCAACGTGCCATGGGAAAATGTGAATCCGGTTTGTTTGGGCCCATTCGAGTCCACAACATCGTATCCCATATCTTTGCCTGCCTTTACTAAATAGTCCACTATAGGAGTCCGATGCTTAAAATACTCGACAGTTAGGTATCCACCGGTACTGTGATAAGGGGAATTCTTGTACTCTTCGATTGTCATATTCTCTGACTTCTTGAAGTAGGGTAGCACGCTCTCGTAGTTCCAGCCTGGATTACCTAACCTCTCCCATTCGTCGTAGTCTTTCTTGTTGCCACGGATGTACAACATCGCGTTCAACACACTGCTACCACCGAGAGTCTTGAACAATAAATGGAAAACTCAAAGAAATACATATACAGGGTGAACCACGAATCGTGATCAGTAAAGATTACTCTGTTATTAGCAGTCCGATCGAAAATGTTTCTATCAGGTATAGCATAGTTTCGAGAGAGCTTTAATGTGATTATAACAAATTTTTTTTCAACTCATTTTGTTCACGATTTTTCAAGGTCACCTTCAATTTTTTGCAAATACGCCTATAATTTTTTTACACCAGCGTGTTAGATGATTTCAAGACGAATTCGGTAAGTATTATAACATAACATGTTACGAATGGCTTCGTGTTAACCCCTTGCCCTATGATTTCCTTGATATCTGCAGTCTCGAGAATTACTTTATCATCAATAATTCCCCGGAAACAAAAGAATTTGTGTACTTATCACAATTGTACATTTACTCTAAAAGTTAAATATTAATATCCGCAAACTAGAATTTCACTTTGACTCAAAGAAAACGAATAATATTTCTATTCGACGAATCCATTTTGATATCGTCACCACGAGTCTGAATCGATGTTATGAGGCAAAGGGTTAAGGCTTAAAGCCCTTTAGAACCTGAAGTAGGACATTTACGAAGTAATACTGAATTACTCGAAGTAAACATAAGGATTCAATTCTTCATACCTTGCCGCGTGGCCAGTTACACTGTCGATTGTTCATCGCTAAGCAAGAACGGTTCGATGGTTCCGTCTTAAACTGCCAGTCCACTGGAGACAGCTGAAGAGACGCAAACGCCATGGGTACATCGGATACCTCTGGCTCTTCCTGACCGGCTTCCAGCAGGAGCACCGACCAGTTACCATTTTCTGATAAACGATTAGCGATCACCGAACCGGCTGACCCACCCCCGATTATCACGAAATCGTAACTCCTTTGCAAGTCAGCCGGAAGTACTGGTTTCACCCTGGATTCAGGGTCCACGATGTCGGGTCGATAGAGCCCGATCAACACCCGCAAAAGTACCAAGACAAGCACATTGATGGCGGGGCTGAACCGTATTAGTATGGCGGCGATACCAGTAAGCGCCATATTTTTCGTTGGCCACCGGAATCACTGTGAGGAGTCCCAATTTGATGACTATGTCCGTTGGAAATGTATTTGTTTTTACTATAATGTCGCTGAAAAAATGTAGGAATTTTAATATAAAACAGTAGCAATATTATTATCCTCACAGCCTGATACTAGGAATGGTAATTGTAACAATAGGATCTTTATTGTCTAACAAGGGAAGTTCGATAACCCGAAAATTCCGATTTTTTTAAAACTTTGCTGGTTTATAGGGGACCTCAAGAGAAGTATAGCCCAATTTTTGGTTTTGGCCCAATTTTAGTTCTTCTGCTGATCTTTACCCAAAAAATATGCTTAGAAGATGCCAGACAATTGTAAACAATACGGAGATTGGGCATTGTATTGATATGAAAACGTCGTAGACGAAGGGTCGAGCTACCTGATATCGCCAGAATTTTTATGATAGCTGCATTCAAGTAAAACTTTTAAAAAGTTTTTTTAATCGAGAATTATACATGCTTAATAAAATGGATCTCATATTCGGCTACTTTACTCTATATGTTGATTGTCCAAGGATAAATGAACGCATTTTAATTATTCCACTGTTTTTCCAATTACAATAGACTAAAGCTTTAAGGAAAGATTTACGCTTAATACCTATGTTAATAACATACACTTAAAAAAAAAACACTTCACTTCATATACTGTTCTTCCTTACGTACGCATGGGTTATATATACCCACGGGTATGCATCAAAAAACAATGAGGGTCAACTGATTAAATAAAATACAGGTGATCAGTGTCAGTATTTTAATAGAACTTGTTATATCAGCTGGTTATGTGTCCACGTGTCGAATGCATCCTTTGCAGTCGTCCTTGCAAAAACCGCGGAAAGTTACATGGAATAGAAATATGTATAACACCACTAACAATAAAACAGAGAATTCACCTGTCCATTACAGTATCTGCCAATTTGACGTGCAGATCCAGTTATTCTTTTTAATTCATTTGATTTTATTTCATTCAGAAATTCAACCAAGCCATCGATCGATACCATGTATCAGCTGGTAATCGACTGTTAGAAGTAGCATGCTCCATCGCGCCAGACATTACTTGACACGCACTTTTCCCGTATTTTTAACAATTAATAACTCGGAAACGCAACTTTGTCATTCTTGATTTTTGTCTTAGTTCAGCTTGTATAATTCACCCTATGAAAGTGTCCAACGGTTTTATTAACACTCTGTATATAAAATGAATTATGTTTGAAGTAATGCTAAAAAACTAATTTGAAAATAATGTTATATTTATCAGCTTGATAAATGAAATGATCCTACTGTTAACGAAGACTATGTAATTAACCTACCTTTTTAACAAGAACTATACATTTCTTCATAAAGTCGTCGAAAATAGAGATTATGAGAAGGTAACTGTTCAGTAAAGGTAATTAAGCTTTTTAGAATTTAGCAACAAGGTTCATGAATGAGAATGTTCAATTGTCCACATGACGGTGCTATTTACCCCATATATCTACTACACCTGGCAAAAGATACTTGATCGAACAAAGTAAACGTCTGACGTAAACCTTTCTTCATTTAGTTAAAGTATTAATATAAAAATAGATATTTTTATGTGTGTACAAAGTGCAGAATGACAAGATTACACACGGATCGGACGAAGTGTTCAATTATCTTTGGGCGTTGAAGAAAGTTTCTGACAACTTCTATAACAGTAGTGACCAAACTTTATCAGGATAGAAGCCATATGTACATATCGCTTAATTACTGTCAGTGTCCCTAATACTGTCGCATTATTTATTTTATTTAATAAATCTGTAACTTTTGAAGAGTTGTCTACAAGAAACTTAATTACTAAATTGCAGCTCTGATTTAAATAAAGAACAATGAAATATAATGTACCTGATGTTTAAGTACTAATATTAAAAAATGAAAGTACAATTTACGTTAATAACAGTTTTTCGATAAATCATAACTGTTAAACAAACAAACTGATTCGAATGAGCTTTGTGGATGCTAACAGTGGAGACATAAGAGTACTTGTACAATTGAAAATTTCGAAAAATTTGTTGTGGAATGACCTGTTGAAGTTAAGTGTGTTACAAAGTAGTGTTGAATTATTTAAACTCGCACCGTATTACCATACACAATCACACCATCTTCCAACGAACTCTGCGATATTAACCCTCCGAGTATTGGTCTCGTAGCTGGATCATTTCTGACTCACATCGATAGGTTACTAACGCAAGAAGTTTTCGAGTAGAAGTTTTGTCGACTAGAAGAAAGGAACAGCGAGTAAAAAAGGAAATACAGTGGACTCTAACTATATTCCCATGGTCGAGGCTGTAGAACTGTTTATTTCCAACATTAAATATTATTCGTTTTATAAGTATCCGCAGTAATCGGGGCATCCGCAGTAATACCCACACTTACATTACGCTCGCGAAAGTAATACACAATAATACGCAAATAGTGATGGAGCTGTCCGTATAATTCGAAAACTGATCGACGTGTGACATTGTATGAAAACGGCCGGGCTAAAACGCACAGTATCGTGTTTCCTTGTACTGTGGAGTAATAATTACAAGAACAGGCACGTACCACGAATCGAACTCGCAGACAATATAAAAAAGAACATATTTAGTCCATTTTCCAATCTTCCTTAATCATGTCTGCAGCCTTTTCAGCTATCATAATAGTCGGCGCATTCGTGTTTCCAGCAGAGATTTTCGGCATGATCGAAGCATCGACCACCCGTAGTCTAGAAATTCCGTGAACCCTTAATCTAGGATCGACGACAGCCATTGGGTCTTTCGCAGGTCCCATTTTACATGTCCCACTTGGATGGTAAATCGTCATTGAATAATGTTGAGCGAAACATTTCCAATAATCCTCCGATGGAAATGGGAATACCGAGCATCTTGGAATAAGGTTCGGGTTCGGTCGTGTGTTCAGCAGCTTCATTGTCGGGGTCTGACTCAGTTCGTAAATGAACTTTGCTGCATCAGCCTGCGTCAAATTAGAAAATCATTAGTAGTTTCTTATTTCTTAAATTATTAATACGTACATGTATTGGGTGTAGCACAAATCGAAATAAAACAGAAACATAAAAATCTTGAAAAAGTCGACCTATGTCGGTACTAAACAGAATCGATAAAGCTTTCTTACCAGAACATTAAGGTCCTGAGGATCCTTAAAGTAATTGGGAACGATGATCGGGTGCTGATGCACGTCCTTTGAACGGAGTTTAATGTATCCTCTGCTTCGAGGTTTTAGTAGAAGTGGCATGATCTGATATGCATCTTGAAACAGTATATTTTGGTACATTTTTTCATAGAACTCATCGTTCACGTTGCAACCCCTCTTAACAAAAATACCACCGTCTGTGTTATCGGTTATAGTTGACAGGAACAACTGTATATCCGGATAATCTTCCGATTTGTTTGCATACCTGAATTAGGGATTTATTCGTCCAATTAGTAAAAAGTTCTGGCGTGAGACTTGATTAATAACTGCCGACGAAGAACACCTGTCCAGTTACGTGTAGGAACGTTACAATTTTTCGTTATAAAAGTAACTCGTGAAAGGTATGCATATTAGGTATAATATTAATACAGTAAAGATGCTTTACTGGCTCGAAGCGACTTCCACGCTAACTGTCCCTGAGTCAAACCCACCACTAGGCGGGGCTCATCCCGGAACTGGTCAAACGTATAAAGTGGGTAAAAAAAGTATTCGTACACTCTTTAAAACAGAACAACGCTTATAAAGACCACTCTTGCCAGAGATGGATAATTCCACATCGATTAACTTTGTAAAACATTTAATAACCAATTGAATGTTATTTTTCGTTATCGTTTCGAAAATAAGGCGCTAAGTTACTGTCAGTTGAAAGTACACAAGTATTTAGAGCTTCCGAAATTCTCCGCTGGCTGATAGTGAACAAAACTCAAATTCGTCTCTGCAACGATGGTTTGTAGTTAAGGGTTAAAGTACTAACTTGGTATTAATGAAGGCCATCCCTTCACTAAGCGGATACGAATACAGAGGTCCAGTATGATCCTTAGTAAATTCCTTAAAAGCTTTCAACGTGATGCTTTTCGGCAGATTAAATGCAAAATGCTCTTTGCCCGTGTAATTCGCTGGTTTATCTATAAGGTAAGCCATACCGCCTATCGATATGTGATCCTGAAGATTTTGACCCACACCAGGCGAATCATGCACCAATGGGATTCCCACTTCATTCAGGTGATCTTTTGGGCCAATACCGGACACCATCAGCAATTGTGGTGATTGTATCGAGCCAGCGGATAAAATAATCTCGCGCCTCGCTTTCACCTTGTAGAGTTTTGATCCAACACGAAATTGGACGCTATGCGCGGTCTTCGATTCTCCATCTGCGAATCAAGAGAATTAATGAAAGTAAAAGAGTGACTAGCAATTATCGAAGCAAAGCCTGATCAAATTCAATTTCACTTATAAAATGATGGTAGCACGAAGAATATCACGTGCACTTGCCATTGTACACCAAAATCTTTTCTGCAGTCGACTGCAAGCTGACATGTAAATTCTTTCTCTTCGAAACTGATCGAAGAAAAGCTTTTGCAGTGCTACAACGCAGTCCGTCTCTCAACGTGCCATGGGAAAATGTGAATCCGGTTTGTTTTGGCCCATTCGAGTCCACAACGTCGTATCCCATATCTTGGCCTGCCTTCATCAAATAGTCCACTAGAGGAGTTCGATGCTTAAAATACTCGACAGTTAGGTATCCACCGGTACTGTGATAAGGGGAATTCTTGTACTCTTCGATTCTCATATCTTCTGACTTTTTGAAATAGGGTAGCACGCTCTCGTAGTTCCAGCCTGGATTACCTAACCTCTCCCATTCATCGTAGCCGTTCTTGTTGCCACGGATGTACAACATCGCGTTCAGCACACTGCTACCACCGAGAGTCTTGAACAATAAATGGAAAATTCAAAGAAATACATATACAGGGTGAACCACGAATCGTGATCAGTAGAGGTTGCTCTGTTATTAGCAGTTCGATCGAAAATGTTTTTATCAGGTATAGCATGGTTTCGAGAGTGCTTTAATGTGATTATAACAAATTTATTGTCAACTCTTTTTTTTTCATGATTTTTCAAGGTCACCTTCAAGTGTT